CCCAGGTCTCTCGCTTGTGAGGGGAGTGAACTAACCACTGAACTAAAGGACTCCATAGGACTGCAGGACTAATAGTTTGTGAAGTGTTACAGGATCATTTATTTTCCCCACAGATCTTGAATCACCGTTTTTTTTACATGGGGGCATTTAGTGTAAGAGCAAGGAGGTAATGTTAGTTTTGTGCAAAACCTTGGTTAGGCCGGAGTTCAAGTATTGCATTCAGTTTTGGACATCCCATATATAGAAAGGACATCAGAGCCATGAAGGAAAACAAGTCATTCACTAGAATAAATGAAGTATGAGAGATTTATAGCTAATTGGAGAGAGTTGAAAAGTTGGGAACATTTGAGTAAGAAGATGGAATTACAGGTTTTATATGACAAGGATGTGGAAATTAGGAGTAAGAAGATACGTCACTACTCCTTCAACCCCTCTCCATCAGGTTTGAATGTTTAATCAAATTGATGTTGGAAATGATAATTATTCAGACTTTTTAATGTAATTTTTCATTACTATTATTATTGTTTCAATCTTGCCATTATTCTTACTGAACTTTGCTTCCAATCTAAGCATCAATTTAAGATTTATCATAAAAAAGGTTAGAACCTTTTTTTAACACAAATGATTATGAGGACATGGAATGTACCAACAAACAACAACAACAGCAACTTGGATTTATATAACGCCCTCCACGCCGGATGGCGTCTCAGAGTGCTTCACAGTAATGGATCCCGGGCCGAGCCAGGGGGAGGGGGAGGAAGGTGACCAAAGGCGCGGTCGAAAAGAAAGGTCTTCAGCCGAGACATGAAAATAGGAAGAGAGGGGGCGAGGCGAAGGGAGTGAGGAAGTGAGTTCCAGAGCCTCGGGGAATAGTGGCTGAAGGTACGGCCGCCGAGGGTGGAGCGGAGGATTCGGGGGACAAGGAGGAGGCCAGATCCGGTGGAGCAAAGGCAGCGGGCACTGTTGTAAAGAGAGAGGAGGTCAGAGAGGTAGGGGGGTGCAGACGAGTGCAGGGATTTGAATACAAGAGTGAGGATCTTGAAATCCAACCTCTCTGGGACAGTCAGCCAGTGCAGTCTGGCAAGGACTGGGGTAATTGGGTCATGACATCTTAGCCATGATCACACAGCCTGCGGGCTGATGTCGTCCCACTGATGCTCGCTCCTGGTCTCTGCGTACGTGTTTTGGCTGCCGCCCCGACCCGAGCCTCCCCCTCCACTCTAAATGTCTCTCCTCCTACCTCCCTCTATCCGCTACTCCCACTCTGTCGTTCTCTCCCACCTCCCCTGCCTGCCTTCTCTCTCTTCTGGACCCCATCACCACTTCCCTCTGCCCCAGCCTGGGCATCCTCCGCCGGGCACATTGTGGCTCCAGGCACTGGCTGTCCCTGAGCAGCATCCCCAAGTGTCCCATTACTCACTGCCTCCACACAAACCGCCTCCTTAAGGCAAACAAACAGTGCTTTAAAAGATATTAAACGAAACATTTAATATAAGTAATATAAAAGATAGTATGAATATATATTTTTAGAAAAAGAGAAGCGGTGGGGGAGTGGCCCTTTCAGAGAGCCAGCACAGGCATGATGGTCTGAATAGGTTCCTACTGAGTGAAAACCCCAAAATTCTACCTGGAATTTTCCTCTTTTACCATTTTGGTGTTCAATGTGAGAGAAAGTATTCACTACATAACTTACCAGTATGAACGTTGCTGAGTTTTATGCCACTTGTTCAGCCCAGACTACCTCACGGTTTGGACTTTACTCTTGTGAGATTGAAGGCATATTTTCGCTACTGTGGACAAATTGAGTCTTCTAGAGCCAGATTAGTCTGGCTGATCCTTAAAATTTAGTCTTCTAGGCTAGTGGGAGCCTAGAAGACTCAAGAAGAAATTGAGTATTCTAGGAGTCTTTTAGGCACTAGCCTGCTTCACGTCCCCCACCCGTCTGGTCCCACCATTGGCAGTCGGGCCTTCAGCCTCTCTGCCCCACCCTTGAAACTCCATCCCACATTCCCTTTGCCTCGCTCCCTCGCTTCCTTCAAGACATGTCTCAAGACCCTCCTCTTTGACCACGCCTTCAGCCACTCTCCCTACCCTCCCTGATCCCAATCCCCTCCCCCCCCCACTCGGGTCCAAATCCCTGACTGTCCAATGCCTTGGGATGTCCTCCCGACGTGAAAGGCGCTTTACAAATGTAATTTTGTGCTGTGTTAACTCCCAAGGTTGTTTCACATAGGATCATTAGAGCCACCTGAGATCATTCTCATCCCATCAAAAATAACAACTTGGATGTATATAATGCCCTTCACATTGGCTTGGAGTACTGAAGTCAAAGTCAGTTAGACTGGATTTCAATCCGTGTCTCAGATGTTAAATGGGTTTATGTCTCAGACATTAAAGAGCAGTGTTCCAACCTGCTCTCATCTCAATTAAGGTTCAATCTTTTCCAAAACTTCACTTAAAACTATCACATCACCTTCCAGTCATGTTCATTAATATAGATCCTTTTTATAGGCTGGTACAGTACGTAGGAATCTGGGAAATTAGGAACAGAATAAGGCTAGTTTCCTCATCTCAGACCTACCCCACATTCCCCTGATTTATAAGCTCTCTGAGACACTATCCTGTGTGGAGACTGCTATATAAGTGCAAGTTGTTGTTGTTGATTTTAATGTTATGTCCTCTCTGGTGGAAACACTGGGGTAAAACGCCTCTGCAGCGTTCAGTGACATGGTATAGAGAACTTCCCAGCACCTTATTATTACCTGGAGCTGCCGAGGCACTTTGTATGTGATCCAAACTCAAAAGTGGTATTAATGAGGGATCCAGTTGTCTACAGTTTTTCTGCTGAAGAATTGGAAGGGAAGGAAATCAAATAGATTTAGATAGAAAAAGATTTCTTGCAACTGAAGTATTACATACTTGAAAGGACTTTTGAAGTGATGACTTTAAAGTCATCACTTTAAAAGTCCTTTCAAGTATGTAACCAAACTTTTTGCCTTTTTCGCAGTTTTAGGAGATGACATTGGGCTTCATGACAGCACTTAAATTATTAAATGTTATAAAAATAACTACTTTTAACTTGGTGAGCTTTAATTATTAACAAGGTATGTCCATGAGCTTCTTGCTATTTGTGTAGAATTTGTTTTCAGTACAGTACAATCTACAAATCTGCAAGTAGAGGCATCCTAGTGATTTACTGTGTTGATATAGTTGGGAGAATGTTAGCTGCGAAGATTCAGGAATTTGCATTGTACAGGAGGAACAGCGAAAAGAAGCCTTCCAGGTTGTTAAGGTACCCAGCTAGTGGCTGTTCTTCCCTTGGGAGAGCAATTAGTTCATGTAGCTTCAGATCGTAAGTTTGAGTATTTTTGGTCAAGGCATGAGAACCAGCTACCTATTCAATCTTCTCATTTTGAGACAACTGGGAGGTCACAGTGAAAGAAATGGTGATTTCAGTAATAATAATATAAGAAGAATAAGAATCCTTCCATTTGATATAGCGCCTTATCACGTTTTCTAGATATCTTAAAGCGCTTCACAGAATATACTGTAAAGTGAATTGACTGTATGTTTAGTGGGGGAAACACAGCAACCAATTGCACACAGCAGTGTCCCACAGTGGTGGATTAAGTGACCAAATTATTATTATTTTATAGTATTGCAGTGATAATAATTATGTAGAGGCTCAATGTTTTTAAATGAATGCTTCACTCGAGAGGTTGTTCCTTTAACTAGAGGAAATTGATTCCCAAATGGGATTAGTGGGATGGAAAGAGCTATGACAGGCCCTAAATGATCAGTAAGTAAAAACCTAAGTGACTCAGTCTCAACTGTCTGTTTAGGTGGACATCAAAGATCCCAAGGCACTACTGAAAAATAGAAGGGAGTTTCTCCTGGTGTCCTGGCTAACACTTTCTCCTTGGAGAGGTGTATCCTACTTACCTAATTCTGGCTTGTCCAGCTAGAACCACCCTACCTGTTAGGATTTTAGCTTGCAGGATTAACAGGAGCTGAGTTTGAAGAGTCCCAGCACCAGTTACTGGTCTGTCCTTCCAGTTACTGCCGATGAGCCAGGCTGGCTGTGCTGTCACCATCAGTGCCCTGGAATACCCTCCCCAAATAATTATCTACTTCTCCCTTAATAATAATAATAATAATAATCCCTGCAATTGATAAAGCGCTTTTTACGTCTTCCAGAAGTCTCAAAGCGCTTCATAGAATATACTGTACAGTGAATTGACTGTATATTTGTGGGCGAAACGCGGCAGCCAATTGTGTACAGCAGTGTCCCACAAACGGTCATGGATTGAAATGATCAATTTATTATTGTTTTTTTCTTGAGGGATTATTATCAGGCGTGTGGAGTAAGGAAACTTGCCCAAGGTTTCACCCTGCTTAATCCTGATGGGTTAGTTGAATAAATTAATAATATAATATACTCCTCCTATTTGGTAACTTAAACGTTGTTATCAAATTGGTTTCTATCACCCTTTCAGGCAATGCATTCCAGATCCGAACAACTCACTGTGTGAAAACATTTCTTCTCGCCTCCCCTCTTGTTTCTTGTAACAACTATTTTAAATTGGTGCCCTCAGGTTACCGACCCACCCACCAGTGGAAATAATTTCTCCTTCTTCACCCTATCGAATCCCTTCATAATTTTGAAACCTTCTGTTAAGTCTCTTCTTAACCTTCTTTGCTCCACGGAGAATAATCCCAGCTTCTGTAGCCTCTCTATGCCTTGACGTCCTTCCTAAAGTGTGGTGTTCCAGAACTGAACACAGTTCTCTAGCTGAGGTCTAACCAGTGTTTTATAAAGGTTTATCATACTTCCTGATTTTTGTATTTCATGCCCCTATTTATGTCACCTTGGAGCCAGTTCAGCTCCACTGTATAATCAGAGGGAAACCTTTTTATACCTTTTCATGATCAGCAGTCTATTTTTCTGTCATTTTCAACAACAACAAAATTACATTCACTTACCTTTCCCTCCCATTTAGCATTGATAGATGCCATCACCAAAAATGGCAGCACAGCTGGTAACAATGAGCATCACCATGAATCTGGAAAACCCTATTGCAGAAAACCTGGAGGTGACGCAGCTGGAAATGGGGGTAACACAGAGAAGGACACTCGTGGAGATGTAGCAAAGAGTTACACAAAGGAGCAGCTTGAAGGAGTACAGAGGTAAGGTGCACAGATTCTATAGTGTTTATTGAAACTCTGGACCACTGTATTTTGTCCATCAGCTTTTATATTTTCATGTATTAGTACTTTGCACTACACCATTGGTTATTTTTAAAGTAGAAAAATTAGTATTTCTCATTTACTTGCTAGTCCCAATATATTTTATATCGTGAAAAAGAATCCACATTGGGAAGAAGAATAGGAATACAATTTATATTCTGTATAAGAATCAAGGAATGTACAGGAGCAGGAAGGCCTATTGCATTTGGCCAATTCCAAACCTATTTTAAAAAAAGTTACTAACACTCATTGATATGTACTGTGTGAGGGACTGATGCAAGTGAACAACTAGATACTTAGGACCATAAACAGAGATATCTCGGAGGGGACCTTTTAGAAGTATATAAGATCCTAAATAAGTTTGAGAAAATAAACCCAGTACAATTATTTCAGATACGCCAGTGCAGAAAGACAAGAGCTTGCAGCCTCAGCGTTGTCGAGAGCAATTCTGGACAGGAAGTCTTTTGTTACACAGAGGGTTGAGGAACTGAACTCATGTAAGAAACTATTTAGAAACTGCTTGATATTGTCATTGGAAGATAGGACGTGAGTATACATGAAGGATGAGTTCAAATAGACTAAAGGGCTTTCTTCATCTGAATCTTTAAAGGTCTTGTGAAGTACAAGCTCAATGGCAGAGTTGGGGAGTTTCACGCTTCGTGTTTGTGGTGGTCACACAACCCACGTAGTCTGGCATGCACAGAGACATTCTGTAAAACCAAATGCAGAATTAATGCTTCAATTGTTTTGGGCTTCATTTATTTCAAGAAATGTTGGATATCTGCTGCTGATTATTCTACTTCCCTTTAAGGGAGAATTCTTGCCCTTGGCTTTTATCAGTATCGGACATGAAGGCTACAAAGCCTCTGTGGGTGTTTGCCAGTCTGAGGGAGAATATTGTTACTTAATGAAAATGTAAATACTTTGCTAAATGGTCTCAAATCTACCCATTGGCCGATTGGGAACTACCAAGAGAAGTTGCTCATTCTATTTTGTGTATCACAACAACAACTCGCATTTATATTGTGTCCTTCAAGGCTGGTCTCAAGTCCCTCCTCTTCGATCGTGCCTTCAGTCGCCCTCCCCCTTCTCTGCCTTCCCTCACTCCTACCCCACCCCTCCCCATGCTCAGGTCCTGATCCCTGACTGTCCAGCGCCTTGAGACATCCTCCTGACGTGAAAGTCGCTCTATAAATGTAATTTTGTTCTTGTTCAAGTGGGGTTAGCATTGGGGAGTGCTGAACAATGGTAGATGTGATGCTGAGCTGAGGAGAAAGGGAAGATGACTGAAGGTGGTTGAAGAGGAAAGCTGAGAGTGTACTAGTCAAATTGGGGAGCAATGTGCACCTGTTGTCTTCTTGACCATATTAGCAAGGCAGCCTTGTAGAGCACTAAAGACATTTTTCCAAAACATTAAGCTTTTGGTTCTGTCCTCAAGTTCAAGATGTCACCCAGCATTCCGTCTGTAATTATACTCCAATCCTTTTCCACTTCCACCCTTGCTAATGAATACCTTTCAGTGTGATCTCGCATTCCCTACAAAAATAATACCTCAGTAATGATACTCCTTTAAGAAATGAGATTTGTCAAGTGGCTCCTGCACTGTAACTACTAGTCATCTTATAGGTGATGAGCATCAGTTCACAAGGTGAGTTTTATATTAACATTATGTCCTGGTTCATTGGGGAAGGCCGCAGTGTGAAATTGGACTTGGGACCAACTTCACCTATAGAGAAGTATTGGACACAAGTTTATAGACCTTGTTAATCCACACCATAAATGTTACACTGAGTTATGGCTAGCCACTGTTGCCTTTATTAAANTTTTTCCCTCATAGTTATTTTTACTGAATTTATTCGAGATGTGTGAATTGTTATTCTGCAGCAGGCAACTTGGTTATTCCCAGGGCACTTAGAGGTGTCCTCCTGGGATATGTTATACTGTTTACCATTGGATAGTTGCTGCTGAGGTGAAATTCATCTTTGGGGATTAATACAGTTTAAAGTCGACGTCCACACAGGTACTGAAATGTACGCTATAAATCGGTCATAATTCCAAACCCATGTAAAAGTAACTCGTGGCTGTATCAAGTTATTTCGGANTTTTTTAAAATTTAGTTTTTGTTAAAAGGAGAGTATTATTCCCAGATGTTACAGAATCCTGTTTTGCTTTGAAATACATATGCGGGTATTAGGTTTAAGATGTGATTTCAAGTCTGTTCTGTTTACATTCTGTGTGAAGTTAGGAGGTGGCTCTGGCCTAAGTGCCTTGCAGTTCATATTGCACCTAGAATTGTTTCCATAAAAGATCAATGATATTGAAAATTGAGTAGTTGTAATTTATTCTAAATACTGTGCCTTCAAATGTGGCCTTAGCCTTAATAGGAGTGTGTGCTTCTGTTCAGATTCAGAATGTATACAACTGTTCATTGCTTTAAAGTAACTGAGAGTTTTCGGGGTAAACCTGGCCCTACAATGCTGGTTATTGGAGTGTCCCATCTTGTTTGTATTATTGTGTTGTTATTGTTTTTGAAGGTTGGGGAAAGACAGCCCTCCTGAGAACAGATTGTCTCTTCTGATAGTTACATTAGCTGTATGGTTCTTTAGATAGTTATATTGAAGAATAAATGGCTGAGTTTTCTTATGATGGAATAAAAAGGCTGAAACAAAAGTCATAGAAGTGGCAGATTTGGTAGTTCAATCTGAAAGAAAATTTTAAGAGCAGATTTGTTATACTCAGTTTACATTGTGCGTGAAATTAGGGGCTACATTGCTCAGCCCTTCAACCACACAATTGCCAGGCAAGCGTTCACTCACTCGCTCACCTGCTCCCTGCTACCTCTCTGATTTCAAAACCCCTTTCTGAAAATCTACCTCTTTGACTGCATCTTTGGTCACCTCCCCCCTCCCCAGCTTGGGCTCCCATTCACTGGTGTGAAGTGCTTTCATCCTGACGTGAAAGACGCTTTATACTATAAATGTAAATTGCTATTTGAGGCATGTGACTATCATAAGATTAATGGAAATTTCAAATCTACCCATCTTTTACACACTGCCTAGTGATGTGAGTTAATGAGTTACATTGCAACTGAGGTTCCATTGTAACTTATTAACTCAGATAATCTTAAATCCAAGTCCACAGTTCACTACAGTATTTATAATAAATCAGAACAGCTTAATTGCAATTTTGATGATCTTTTATGTATGGAAGCAATTTCTAGTACAATAGAAGTGCAGGGTTTTTTAGGCCAGTGCAAACGCATAACTTCACACAGAATGTAAACAGAACATTACCTCTATAACTTTCAAAAATGTGCATAGAAAGAACTTTCATTATTGTAGCATCTTCACAAATAACTGCTGTCAAGTGTGCTGACTTGTAGACAAATGCAGCAGCCATTTGTGCCAGCAAGATCCCACACATTGCTACAAGGTGAATATAACATCAACTTGCATCTATATAATAATAATAATCCTTGGATTTTGATATTTGGTACAGAGCTCCTCACGAAGGGTAGCGTCCCAGAGAGTTTAATAATAATAATGCTTCCATTTGGTGTAGTGCCTTTCACATTGGGAGGACTTCCCAAAGAGCTTCATGGTGTGTTTTGTGGGTAAACATGACGGCCAATTTTGCACATAGCAACATCCTACAAACAGACATGAAGCGAGTGACCAATTTTATTTGGGTGATTGTTGGCCAGGTCACCTTTGAAAATCCCTTCCCTTTTCAAATGCCATGAAATCTTTAATGTCCAACTTAAAAGGCAGACGAGACCACTGTTTAGCACCTCATCTTTCACTTCCAACAATGCAGCGCACCTTAGCACTGCCCAGGCAACATGCCCCGGCCCCAGAGACAGTGCAAAGAAGAACATTGAGGATGATCCCCAGTGTAGAGAAATGAGCTATGAGCAGAGCCAATAGAAAATTGCAGAAATATTTTGCCAAAATTGCAGGGCAATTTAAAAAATCTTGCTGGAAATTGCAGGGAATTGATTGATGCTATTGAGAGGCACATTTTACTGCCAACTTTGATTTTTTTCATTTTATTGATAAAAACTAAACATGAAGAAAGAACACATATTAGATTGTTGCAAATTTAACAAAAACTGTGTGGCCCACTCAGGGGAGGGGGGTGGGGGACACCAGCACAGGCCCGAAGGGCCGAATGGTCCATTTCCACCCCACACTATATTTCAAGGCCTGGAAATGCGTTAAACACCAGCATTGCTCACCAAGCTCACCAGTGTCCTGACTGCAGGGCTCCAGGAGGTCATCACTGCTCTGGGCCGCCACCGCACAGACACAGAGACCCAGAGAAACACACACACTCAGAGAGGGAGAGAGAGACACATACATACCCACAGAGACACACTCATAGACACACACACACATACACAGACACACACGTTCACAAACCCACACAAACTTTAGAGACGGAGTAGAGACACACAGACAATCTCAACAGCGGGACCAAGCCATGACCCACTCTGCCTTCCCTCACCTCCGTAACATCACCCGGCTCCATCACTACTTCACCCCTCAGGCCGCTGAAACCCTTTTTCATGCCTTCATCACCTCCAGGCTCGACTATGCAAACGCCCTGCTTGTCGGCCTTCCCGACTCCTCCCTCCACAGACTGCAGATAATCCAGAACTCTGCAACCCATGTCCTCTCCCGCACCAAACTCCGTGACCCCATCTCTCCCATTCTCGCCCGACTCCATTGGTTCCCTATCCTTCAGAGGATCGAGTTCAGGATCCTGGTCCTCACATACAAAGCCCTCCATGGCCTCGCCCCACCCTACCACAGCGATCTCCTAACCCCCTACAATTTTGCCCGCTCCCTCCACTCAGCCGGCTCTGGCCTGCTTCACATCCCCCGACCCACCCGCCCCACCATTGGCGGGAGAGGCTTCAGCCACTCTGCCCCCAACCTCTGGAATTCCATCCCCCAATCACTCCACCTCGGTCCCTCCTTAGCATCCTTCAAGTACCGCCTCAAGACCCTCCTCTTCGACCATGCCATCGGTCAACCCCCCTTTCCCTCCCCTCCTTTCTCCCTCCCTGACCCCAGCTCGGGTCTGAAATGCTGCACACTGTCCAGCGCCTTGGGATGTCCTCCCGACGTGAAAGGCGCTATACAGATGTATTCTTGTTGTTGTTGTTGCTCTTCTTCTGAATGGTGGAAGTCTATAAATCGTTGCTTTGTGGGGTTTGTTTCTATAATTTAATGGTCTAATCTCTCCACAGGATAAAAAGATGTAAAGATTACTATGAGATACTGGGACTCACAAAGGATGCGACTGATGATGATCTGAAGAAAGCATATAAACAATTAGCACGGAAGTTTCATCCTGATAAGAATCATGCCCCTGGGGCAACTGAGGCCTTTAAAGGTGAGCTGTGAAGCTTGTAGGACTATTACTGAACAACGTGATAAGGCGCTATATCAAATGCAAGGATTATTGTTGTTATTGCTGCAGTGAGGGAAAGGATAACTGGTAGACAAAGGAGTAAACGTAATGGAAGTAAATACTGAGGCTGAGGGGTGGGTGGGGATATGAGAGTAAACACATGGAGGCAGGAAGAGTAACAGTTGTGTGTGTGTGTGGAAGAAATGCAGGTGATGACTTTTTTCATATGTGTAGCCAGTGATTCTGCTTTGGTTTGTAGCTGCTTCTTATTTCCCCCACCCTCACTTCACAATTCATTCTTAATTTTGTGTTTTTTTCCTTGTATTTTGTGGGCCATTTTTGTGTTTATACTTTTGAAATGGAGAAATAGAAATAGTCTCTGAAATTGTAGAATTTTCAAAAAAAACTAACTTATTTGAGAGTTTCATACTTGAGTTAATCAAGATCCCCCTCCTTTTATTAGTTAGAGAAATTCAGGTGTTGGGTTAAGGCTTTAACATATTAAGAATCCATAACACAGATGTATATCTAGAGGAGAAGACTGTAACAGACCGACATCTGGACATACAGACTGTGTATTAGATGCATGTCGATAGAGAGCGAGAGTGTAACAGATACACTTGGGGAACCAGTGATTTGTGGATAAAAATGAATGATAATCGAGTAGAAAAATATTGCACAAGTCAAGATGTTTAAGTGTAAAGTGATGATCTTGGCATAAGCTTGACAGATGATATTGTTTTTGACGACTTTGATTCAAAAAATAACTTGATTCTGGAATGGGAACACAGTAGGGTTTGAGTATTCCAGAGCAATAAGATCAGAAGAGCCTTCTTCATACAAAACCAAACTTGTGAATATACCACTGAAATTTGGGTGGACTCTTGCGGTTGGTGTGAACCAGGGGTCCACAGGTCACAAAAAAATAGTGATGTTATCTCTTTCTTTATAATTTGCAGCAATTGGAAATGCCTATGGTGTTCTCAGTAACCCCGTGAAACGAAAAGATTACGACCAATATGGTGAGAAGATGTCAGCCTCTGGAGGGAATGGAGGCTTTGAATTCCACAGGAATTATGAATCTGATATTACTCCAGAAGATTTATTTAACATGTTCTTTGGAGGAGGATTCCCTGCAGGTACGGTTGAATACATGCTCTCTACCACTCAGACTAATAGCTTTTGTAATTGGTCACTAAGTGACAAGGTAGTAAGTGCCAGTGGGCATGTTGGGCTTGGCCATCTATCTGGAATGTGGAAATAATTGTGTAACATACATCAACATAACAACATAAAAAAAAATCTGTTTCATGGCTATATAACTGTCAATTGTATTGTAATGATTTTAAAGGGCAATCTAATGCAAAATCCATTTAAAAAAAATAAATTTTATTTTTAAATTTGCCCCCTCACAAATCTCCAAAGCATCCAGCTGGAGTAATTCATAAACAGGTACATTGATCAAGAAGCTTCATGGTTTAACTGGATTCTCCGGTAGTAAACAACTACAAATAAAAAACAGGTATCCTTCCAGTAATTAAAAGTGTGTCACTAGTCAGATAAATTGGGCATTCACTTCATGCCTGTGCATGAGACTTTGCTGTTGCAAAATGGCTGGCATGTTTGCCTACAAAAATTACTTGACCATAATTATCGTAACATACTTGAGACGTGATAAGATGCTATAAATATAAAACTTTCCATTGTTAAGTTTGTGCTAGTTGCACAGTCAAGCTATTAGAGTAGATTGTTTTGTAATACTTAACCAAATGTTAACCCAAGTTCACAAATTTCTTTCTCTTTATTAATCACTGGGTTCCTTTTGGAGAGAAAAATATCTATTTGAGGCTGTGGTCACAGTCCCAATGAAGCACATCAGAGTGGTGGGGCTCATTTTTCCCTACACAGTGTTTTTTTATTTTGACAACAACATCAGCTGTAGAAACTCTACAGTTGGCCTCGGTGGCTGAGCTAGAGAGAGGAACGAAACAGCCAGAGATTCCTGCTGTGATTGTTATTTAGTGACCTCTGCTGGAAAGTGTCTGTGTGTGTGTTGAGTGAGGGTAGGATTAGGTTGAACTGGGATTCCCTTACTGGAATAACCTGTTGACATTGATTTCAAGGCTCACACATGATGACTGGTTACTTGTCTGAATTACCAAAGCAGAAGTCACTTGCAGTGTATGCCAGATTTACCAGCATGAGTCATCCCCTTCAAGAGGGCAGGATAAAAAACACAGTATATAGTTATAATGGTGCTGGTTTAAGTCCATAAAACCAGACCCAAAATTATAATGGATTGTGAGACAAAATCATCACTTTCTGCACCGGGAACGTTATTGACATTATTTGCCATGCAGGAAGGGCTGCTGACATGACATCACTTCCCATGTTCTACACAGGAAGCCAGCCAGTTAGTGCTGGAAGCTGTGGGTACATGGTATAATGGGGCATGTGAAAAGCAGGGTCCAATTGTAAAAGAGGATGGGAGCAAATAAATCTCAGTCTTTATAAATAGTTTCAAGGTCGTACAAGTGAAAATAGTGCATCGATGAAACTTACTTTGCATGACATAACAAAAATGTGATGTCTATCTTTAAAACAAGAGCTTCATGCTTACAGAATAATTTGGGGATTTCTTTGTGTGCCCCTCATAACACTGGACTACCTTTAGATTTTAAATATACAATCGTCTTTCAGTTGTATCTGTGGAGAAGGGCAATTTTTAGTCTATTGGCGGAATCAATAAAATCTCTGTACAGGACTGTGTTTTGTTAAGTACCAGTGTGATGACAGGCTGGGCCGTGAACATTCATTCTTTCAGGCAATACGCATGCATATTCCAATGGAAGAGCAAGATTCACATCTCAAGCCCCCTTCCATAGAACTCAACAAGAAGAGGAGCGAGGTGATGTATGTATTCTCTTATCAGTTCTTTGCGAGATTCTTGTAAATGTAGATATTAGAGTTGCCCCTTTTATAGCTCTAACCAGTAGTTTTGGGCAGAGACAATCTCTTCACAATGTTTTTCAGACTGATGTGATTTTTGGGACGGGCTCACCTGCTTCACCTCACAAACTGGAATCAATTTCTAGTAGAGCCTGTGAGCCAAGCCTTTAAGCGTGAGCAGCTATATTGATCAGCAGATGGTGTAATACTGAGCCAAACAAACCAGGAAGACACCAGTTTCAATACCTGATCTGTGCTGAGTTAGACAGACTATTTCACCTGAGGTTATAGTGGCACTGCAATAAAATCAGCTTTAATGACCTTGGCATTATTGGGGGGGTTGTGTGGGGTGGGCGGGAGGGGGATCTGTCAATAGTTAACTTTTGACCCTGTATGTATGAGAACAGGGTCAGGATTGTGATGGCCTTGTGGGAGAAAATAGCATTCTAACACATGGTATCTCAGTTTGCATGTTTTGACTGGTCACTACTATAGGCAGCAAGGAAAGTACATCCAAAATCACATATTCATGTGAGTAGGTGTAACAGGAAGAAATCAGTGAAAAGTGTGTGTGTGTGTGGGGGGGGGGGGGGGGGTGGGGTGTTGGTGGTTGGGGGGTAAGACTGGGACATGGTGCAGGCCACATTGGGCGAGAAAAGGAGTGTTCCAAACTCTTACACCTAATCCAACTTCCATCGTTCTAATGAGAGGAAAAAATTATTTATTTTTATGTCTTTGAGAAGCGATAAGGTGTTACATCAAATGCAAGGATTGTTATTATTAGGAAAAAAATTAATGACTTTCCGAACCATTCTTAATATCTAATGTTCAGCATTTAGAATCTGTGCCTACAATTTGATGTCCTGTAAAGAATTTTGTTTAATTGGGGTAGGATGAAGTGTGCATTTTTCAAAACTATTTTTAAAGAAAAATATAGGGTTGAATGAGGGAAATGATATCTTAAATTTTTTCCTTTACTTCACAGGGAGGATTTTCGATGTTCATTCAGTTGCTACCTATAATTATCTTGATCCTGGTATCTGTTATGAGCCAGTTACTTGTAACTAATCCTCCATACAGTCTGTACCATAGAGCGTAAGTATTGCTGACTATTTCTTACGTAACTGCCCTGTAACTCTGTCCACAATCTTGTTAAATTCTAATCTACATTTATGTTGCACCTTCCATGTCTGCAGTATGTCTCAAAAGCTTCAGACAGCTGACTGGGAACCCGAGATGGGGTTGGGTGGGTGTAGAGCAAGGAAGATGACCAAAAGCATGGGCGAAAAGATGGATCTTCAAATTTTATTCAAAAATACTCTGTGATAGCAACCTCTAGTTATTTGTATTGGAACTGTTAAGTGCATGTTCCAGCCTACCCTTTCAGAGAAGCAGTCTGTCGGGCTAGTCTTCACCATTTTTTGGGGGTCAGTTAGTTATTAGTGACGCTTGTGGAAATCTTCCTGATGGTTAAGGGTTCCACAGGATATTTTTGATTATTCCATGTGAAGAATTATTTTCTTTTATAAAACAATTATAGGTTACTAAGTGTTTCATTGGGTCTTTTATTTCTCTTGTGGATAATTCACCAATGTGTTTAGGTGTCAGCCTAGTTCAGTTGGTAGCAGTACTTTTGCCTTTGGTTCAGAAGGTTATGGGGTCAAAGTCACACATAGGGACATGAGCGCAGTCTATGCTGACATTGCGCTGCAGTCCTGGGAGTGCTCTATTGTCAGAGATGCTATTCTTTTGATGAGACTTTTCAATGAGGTCCCATCTGCCTTTCCAGGTGGCTGTTAAAGATCCTGTGACTCTTGTAAAATAGGCAGGAGTTTCTCCTGGCTTACTGGCCAACAGTCCTCCAGTATACTCTGTCATTGGCCTTGTGACTGTTTATCTGACTTTGCTGTGTGCAAAACGGCACTTACATTTATCTTCAAAAAGTCATTGCACATGAAGTAACTACCGTGAAGCACTTCAGCATTTATAATCACTATAAAAATGAAAGATCTGCTTCCACTTGGTTAAAAGATTTGGGGTATATTTTTGGTGATTTATTAATTTATATCTCGGGGGCATTCCATTAAAAAAAATTGCCGGGTACTGAATATCTCTCCAGTATCTGAGGGAGGATAGCTTCTGCTTGTTTGAATTTTTTTTAGTTTTATAATTCTAATTGTTAAGGCATCTTGGGAAGGAGCACAAAATCTGCGTGCTGTCGGCCTCAATTTATAATTTTTCACATCAGAGGCCTGAAACAATTGAATCTACAGATCACAGCAGTGAGCTGCCAGTTAGGCTTTACTCTAATATTTGGGGTTAGTTAGGCTGGTATCCTGCTACCTGCAATCTAAAGCATGGTTGGCTTGTCAGGTATTGGGTACTGAGAAGGGGACTGAAGGGCGGGTTAAAAATCCACCTCCAGCATACTCAGGGACCTGTCTGTGTTCATCTTAAGGTGGCTAAATTATCCACCAGTGTTAGCACACCACATGGAGTTCTGTAGCATATTGGTTAGAGGACTGACCTCACAAACGAGAGGACCCAGGTTCGATTCCCAGGCAAGGCGAAATCTTAGGCAAGTTTTCTTACTCCACGTGCCTTTGTTTACCTAGCAGTAAGTAGGAACCCAGTTGTTAGTCGATTGGTGGATCGCTTTCTGAGGGTAATAATCCCTTCCAAAATAAATGTTTGGTTACTCAATCCACAACTGTTTGTGGGACACTGCTGTGCGCAATTGGCTGCTGTATTTCATGCACAGAATATAAAATTAATTAACTTTACAGTACGTTCTGTGAAGTATTTTGAAACATCTCAATGACGTGATGAGCGCTATATCAAATGCAAGTATTATTATTTATTATTAAAATATATCCCAATACAATTCATTTGTACTGTCACTATCTTAAGAGAAGTGAAAAGTTAGAAGGTTGCGAGCACTAAACATATTGAACCTTGTTCTGGAGAGTGCTCTTCTGTCTCAGACTATTAAGTTGCAACTTGCAACAAGCTGGTTTCTTCAGTCAACTGAACAATTCCTTGCTATGTTGGCTAATAACTGTTCTTGTGTTTACAGTGGTATGGGTCACACGGTCAGGAAACAGACCAGCAACCTGAATGTGGTTTATTTCGTCAACAAAGACTTCGACAAAGAATACACAGGTGTTTCGATACAAAAAATAGAAAAGAGTGTTGAAGAGGATTACATAGCCAACCTACGCAATAACTGCTGGAAAGAAAGGCAGGAGAGTAAGTCTTTGCAGATTTCAGTCTTTTTAAAAGAGTTCTTCAATAGCTTCTTGTACTGATTCTCAGTCTGTTGTCGGTGATTATGATCTTCAAGGAATAATGGCTCAAATGTAGGAATATTACTTAAATGCACTTTTCACGCTATTAAGTAGACCGGAAGAGGTATCAATTAGCTGGACACTTACTGGATAGGATTCTTTCTGTGCACTCAGTTGCCCATCCAGCAAATGCTTCCTCTTTCTTCAAAGAGCAACTTGGTGCTCTTCCCATAGTTTTAGTCTGACAAGTTATGTATTAGGAAACCCTTGACAGTACCTAAAGTCAAAGATTTTTTGATCTTTGCCATTTGTGACTCCTGTTAACAAATATTGTGCTATAGTCCCCAGTAAGTGCCTGCTTGATGTGCTTGCACCATTTTGGAGTCCTGTAGCTCAGTGGTTAGAGCACTCGCCTTGCAAGCGAGAGACCTGGGTTCAATTCCGGTCAAGGCGAAACCTTGGGAAAGTTTCTTTGCTCCACATGCCTGATAATAATCTCTCAAGAAAAAAAAACAATTATAAATTGGTCACTTCAATCCACGACTGTTTGTGGGACACTGCTGTGCGCAATTGGCTGCCGCATTTCACCACAAATATACAGTCAATTCACTTTACAGTATATTCTGTGAAGTGCTTTGAGACATCTAGAAGACGTGAAAAGCGCTATATCAAATGCAAGGATTATTATTATTGTTATTTTGTATTCTCAGATTTAGAGGGCCAAATCTATGGAGATGGTGCAAAAATCAAACAAAAACAATGGAATGTGTACCCATGTAAATTAACATTCCCTCATCATTATTTAGCTGAGTCTTTGTAATGCTCATTAGGTCATAAGCTTCCATCCGAGCATGAATCTCAATCTCCAATGTTATCCCTGTGACTCCTTGCATTTGTTTATAAATGACAAGACCTGATTTAGCTTAACCTCCTCCTCTAATGCATTCATTTCCCTTAATCATTAACTCTACACTTACAATATATTACTTTTCATATAAACTTTCACATATAAAATAGTTATTTTGCGTTACTGTTGATTCACAAGTATGTTGACTCATTAGAGATTAGTATACAAAAGCCATTATTCCTGATCTTCTTGTATACTCAGCTTTTGTTCTTGTTTTCTATTTAAAGGGAACGACTTGTTTTATGTGGCCAAAGTATACAGAGACGAGAAACGTCGAAAGAAGGCGGAACTCATGCGGTTGGAAAGTTGTGATAAACTGGCAAGATTAAATGAACTATATCGAGGTGGCTGAGCCAGTGTCATTTTATGTTAACTTAAAAATGTAAGCGTTTGTTGTACAGGAACAATTTTGAATTTTTTGTTAAAAGATAAAATCTTGATATCAGAGCCTTACTGTGGAAGTTCTCAGTTGTGACCCAGTTGGGCTGTTTACACAAAGGCAGTCTTCAGTGGCTGATGTGTAGATCCTGACCACTCAAATCATATACAATAATAGTGCATTCTAGATTGGCTTTGTGTGTTTTTTAAAAAAAAAACTACATATGAATTAATCTGATACAGTTAATGTAACATAGCAGCGTGGTTTAACTAGTATTTAACTATAGCGTTGCTATTTATTTCGGAATTAAAATAAACGGGTGGCAGGAAGGGACCATTTATCCTGCTGTCTCAGGTACTGTTGCATCTGACCCCTGAAGGTGATCATGACCTACTCTGGAGACCACAGCACTGTTTCGAATACAGCGCTGCCTATTAAGGGCATTATTGATCACCTTTCCTGCAGTACTATATCTTGGTATAGTGGGTCATACAAACTGAGTGATCTCAAGCCCCAGCTGTTTAGACTGAATTGGAATAATTGTGAAAACAGCCCCATTAATGTCTCTCTTACTTGAAGTTTTATACATTGGGATTTTAGTAGTTACAACAAAATAGTTTTCAATATGAATACAGTACTTGCATAACAATGATGCTCTGTATTTAATGCATTCCTTACACATTAAGTCCTCAAATTTTAGATATATTCACCTTCAGATTTTTCAATTGTACGTCTAAAGAATTGTTTTCGTAAGATTGATTCAATAAGAATTTTTGTCACTTTCTCTCTCTTTCCTATCAAAGTGAGAACAGTAGAGTGGTATATTGACATATTCCTTATATTAAGGATTAAGGATTATGTAGAAATTCCTGGGATTAATCACTGTTGCACGTACACCAGTACAAAAACAAATCTTTGTGTGAATATTGTATAGTTATTGCTGACGTTCTGTAGTTCTCAAGAACTACTTTAGTTTTGCACTGAGTCTTGTTGAATTAATGCCACTGTACATATGATTAGAAAAAATCCCATGTGGAACTATAATTAATCCCAGTACTGGAATTTTTCAGAGATACTGGGAAAGACCAAGCATAGAAAAACTCTTTGAAAGACCTGTCATCTAATATGACTAGTATGTCGGGTATCGGGCTGATTCATGTGATGTTAATTTAAACTCCTGGGATTAATTACTTAAGATATACTTTAAGATATTTAAATATCTTCCATTTACATAATATAGAGATTTTGCATTTGAAAATATTCAAATAACACAGCCACAGACTCAGCAGAGCAATATTACACAACTTGAACTGATAACCAAATCAATTTGTTACAATTTGTGAATACATCCAAAAATTGACTCTTCTTAACTCTGCTGTTAATTCTTGTACTTCCTACTGTCAATGTGAAATCAATGCTGAGTTCCCATTGTAGATCTGAATTGCTGATTGTAATATATATTTAATGTATCCTCCTCTCAACATATCAAATAAAGCTATTTTAAGTGTGCACATTGTAAGGTTTTGACATGTTATTTTGGGATTTCTGTTCCTCTCTTCTCTTCCAAAGCACTGAATGCAATTCCCAAACATTTGTTTTCAAAACAATAACTTGCATTTATATAGCTCACCTCATGCAGGGTAGCGTCCCAGAACCCATTTTATTCTGGTTTCCTGCTGCATGTGTGAATTTGAGCAGACCAATAAATTGTTTTCTCAAAAAAGCTACTGTACTTTACAAAATTGAGGCTTTCTTTGAGTACAATAATATTTATTCATTATCTCTCCCTTTAGCACAGTACTCCTTCAAAATCTGCTGTCGTTAACTCCCCTCAAAAAAACCTCCACTTGACTCCTCATCTCCAGTATCACCATCTTCAACCCACTCTTCTTTTGCAAGATACTGGAGCACATTGTTGCCATTACCACCCAGCATCAGTCCTTCCACTTCCTGTATGGATCTCTCCAGTCTGGCTTCACTCCGGCCATAGGCACCGACAGCGTTGGCCAAAGTCAACTCGGGGTTGCAATCCTGGTGCTCCTTTAGAATCCCAGAATTTTAATTATCCAAATCTTGGGATCCCGAGGCCCCCTGTAATGGTACTCCGCACCAGCGGAGTATTTCAGAGAGCTCGTCCCTCCAAGGGGAGGGCCCTAGGAGGTTAAACACCTGTCCGACCACTCCTGGCAATGTTCATCTCAGGGAAACCTGCCTCCTCTGTCCATCCAAGCTCAACCTTTACACAATCCTGAGATTCTGGGACCACTCGTACCATAATGGACCCGGGATTCCAACCCCTACTCACAACCAACATCCTCTCTGTTTAAGGCCAGGGCTCTCTGTGCCTCCATGATCAATTTGCCACTTTTGACTCCAGGCTTCACCATCTCTCCCAAGTACATCTCTGCAGCTCTACGTTACTAGGTTTCACTCCAACCTGTCCCAGTGTCTTCTACATCTTCCTAACAGCTTCTACTACCCCTTAACAGTCAAGAATGGTGTTCCTCAGTGCTCCTTTCTCAAGTGCTCCTTTTCTCTTCCATGTGCTGCCCTTGGTGATATCTACAGGTATGGCACCACCCCAGCATAGAATCAATACAGCACAGAAAGAGGCCATTCAGCCCATCGTGTCTGCATTGGCTCCAAAAAGAGCAATCCAACTCAATCCCACTGGTCTGCTTTCTCTCCATAGCCCTACAATCTTGTCCTCCCCAAATACCCATCTACCCATGCAGGTAATGCATTCCAGATCCGAACAACTAGCTGGGTGAAAAAATGTTTCCTAACCTCCCCTCTGTTTCTTTTAACAACTTAAATCGGTGTCCTCGGGTTACTGACTCACATGCCAGTGGAAACATTTTTTCCTGGTTCAACCTATCAAATCCTCTCATGATCTTGAAAACCTCTATTATGTGGTGCCCTGCGCCCTCAACTCCTGGACCCTCAACTCCAGGACCTCTGCTGTTTTGACAAATATTCACTTTTCCAACTCAACGTCAACAAAATTGAGGCTATCCTGCTTGGCTCCTGCCAGATCCTGCCCGCCAGCTGACAAGGTGCCTCTGCTAATACCAGAGACTATCTTTCTCTTGGTGTCCTGGTCAACAATCACCCAGAGAAAAAAAAATGGCTATTCTCTTCATGGTTGTATGTGGGACATTGCTGTGCTGCAGTAAAACTTTGAAGTGTTTAAAGATGTCTTAACAACATGATATAAGGCATTGAATCAAATTGCAAAGATTGTTATCCAGAGATAGGGTGGTGTAAGGCCATGGAGGCATTTGAAGGTGAGGTCATAGATCTTAAATTTTGATCTGCTAGGAAAGCCAGTGGAGCAGGTTGAGGATAGGGGCCATATGTTTATGGATCCTGGTGCAGGGAAGATAAAGGGCTGTGTAGTTCTATGTGGTTTGGAGTGTGTGTGTGGGGTGGGGGGGTTGTCAAAATAAATCAGTCTATTTATTGTTAAGTTATTCTCCATTGTCAAGGTGATATGCAAAATTATGATGAAGATGCTCTTAATGCTATGGTCCTTCAATGATAAATCAGTCTTGCTTTCTAATTGTTAGTCACCTTCCTGTGTACAACATTGGATTAATTTCAAGAAACTTCAGAAGTATTCATGATAGTGTGCCTAATTTGAGTGGTGTGAACTATTAGTGGAATTGGCCTTTGTTATTGAAATTGTCCTTATATTGATATACTTTATTACTTCCCCCACCTCCACAACATTGGCCGACTCCACCACTGCCTCACCCCTCAGGCCACCAAATCCCTTATATATGCCTTCATTACAACCAGGCTCGACAATGCCAACCCCCTGCTTGTCGGCCTTCCTAACTCTTCCCTCCATAAGCTGCAGATCATCCAGAACTCTGCAGCTCGTGTCCCTATAACCCCCACCCTCGCTCGGCTCCACTGGCTCCCCATCCCTTGGAAGATCGAGTTCAAAATTCTCATCCTTGCCTTCATGGGCCTCCGTGGCCTTGTCCCCTCCTACCTCTCCGAACTGCTAACCTCTGATCAACCTGTCTGCTCCCTCCGCTCAGCAGGCTCCAGTCTGATCCATGTACCCCGCCTGGCCCACCCCACCATCAGTGGTCAGGCCTTCAGCATCTCTGCCCCACCCTCTGGAACTCCATTCCACATTCTCTCTGCCTCCCTTGCCTCCTTCAAGGCACACCTCAAGATCCTCCTCATTGACCGTGCATCCTCTCTGCCCTCACTGATCCCAACCCCCCCCCCCCCCAGTTCCTATCCCTGACTGTTTAGCACCTTGGGATGTCTTCCCGACGTGAAAGGCACTTTACAAATGTAATTTTGTTTTGTATTGTACTTAAATTAATTTACATTTTTGACAAGCATCAGTTAATCTTTAGTTAGCATCGAGATTGGAAACTCTCCAAGGGAAAATGGATACTGTAGATAAAGCTACAGGAGCAGCAATCAATTGTATAGAAAATGGTTGGACTTGTCATTTGGAGTCCTGTAGCTCAGTGGTTAGAGCTCTTGCCTCACAAGCGAGAGACCTGGGTTCGATCCTGGCAGGCTGAAACCTTAGGCAAGTTTCCTTACTCCACAAGCCTGATAATAATCTCTCAAGAAAAAAAACAATAATAAATTGTTCACTTCAATCCAAGGCTGTTTGTGGGACACTGCTGTGCGCAATTGGCTGCCGCGTTCGCCCACAAATATACAGTCAATTCACTTTACAGTGTGTTCTGTGAAGCGCTTTGGGACGTCCTCCCGACGTGAAAAGCGCTATATCAAATGCAAGGATTATTATTATTATTACAGTCAAATCACGTTATAGTATGTTCTGTGAAGCGCTTTGAGATGTCTAGAAGACGTGAAAAGCGCTATATCAAATGCAAGGATTATTATTACTATTATTTGGTGCTTACCTGTCAAATATGTTCTCATTTGTCCTTAACTCCTTGAAGTTGAGAATTCAACTCTCAGAAACATATTTCATATTGGGGCACACAATTTATTATGTTTGTCATTTTGACTTTTTTTGTCTCTTCTGACTTTCTTTGCCCTCTCCTCCTGAAGGATTTTGAGTCCTATTTTTCCCTTCTACTGGCGGTACATATCCGTGGGAGTTCCCCCCACCCCAACCAGTAACTTCCAAATGGCCATTACATGAGTGTTGGCAAATTATTTGAATGCGGGAACCTACAGACAAGCATAATCCTGTTCTTACCTGACATCTATACTACTGCATCTTCCAGCAAAGATCTCTGGATAGTTATCAGAAGGAGAAACCTTGGCCTGTTGCCCTCTCCCCAGCCCATTACTGTTGAAACCAATTGTAGTTCTCCAACTGACGCCCTGGCTGAGATCAGCTATCTTAGCACAGACTGTGATATGAAACAATGTCATTCTGGTCTGTATGAGCTACTGCTGCTTATACCATTGCCATTGGGATTTGGCATATCCATTTTATATAATTAAGATTTTCATTATATACACACATCTTTTTATGCAAATGCACTGTACCTATCTACTTCTTGCTCTGGGATTTACAATTTTTTATATTATCCACGAACTTGATTCATTTAAAAGCATTCTCATAAGAATGATCAATTGGTCCAAATGTGTTACAGCAATTGTTCTGGTTGCTCCCTTCACTGACCTCCTCTCTCCTCAAAACAGTACCCGTTGCCTTCGTTCCTCCTCGTCCCGATACTCCGCTCCGCCCTCGGCGGCCACGCTTTCAGCCACTATGCCCCGAGGCTCTGGAACTGCCTTCCTCACTCCCTTCGTCTCGCTCCCTCTCTTCCTATTTTCAGGTCTCTGCTGAAGACCTTTCTTTTCGACCGCGCCTTTGGTCACCTTCTTCCCCCTCCCCCTGACTCGGCCCCGGGATCCATTACTGCGAAGCGCTCTGAGACGCCGTCCGGCATGGAGGGCGCTGTATAAATCCAAGTTGTTGTTGTTCGCTGAGCTAAAACCTGCTCATATCCCCCATCTCACTTTTGGTGGGAGAACTTTTGTCATTCTGCCCTTGCTCTCTGGAACTCCATCCTAGAGTCCTTCCACCTTGTTCCCTCCCTTCGCTATCTTCAAAACCTGACTCATCTCTTCGAACTCACTTTCAGCTGACTTTCTCCTTCCCTCCTCAGCTACTTCTCCCCAGCTTGGGCTCCTAGTCAGCCGTGTGAAGTCCTTGGGGATATCTTCCTGACATGAAAGGTGCTTTCTAAATTACAACTGTATTTTGACACAGCTCTGTCCTTCCTGAACAGGTTCAGGTCTTCAGTGGAAACAACCTGTCAATGTAGGTGTCAGCCAGGCCACTGTAAATGGATTTGAAAAGGAAATGGATTGTAAACCACCACAAATAAGCTTATTTTCTGTTTGCTCGATTCTTTGAGACAAGTACAACAGGAAACATTTATTTTTGTTGTTGCTGTTCACCAGCAAACCACTTGAATAGTGTGAATAGTCCTGTGGTCTTCTTTAACATCCACTTCCGTCACATCTACCTATTTAGGTCAATGTTTAAGATCCCACAGCACTATTCAAAGAGAAGTGAGTTTCTCCTGGTGCCCTAGCCAACAATCCTCTGGAAATAATTGATCAATCACTTTATGTTGTCAGCCCGGCTCAGCTCATAGCACTCTGGCCTGAGTCAGAAGGTTGGGGGTTCAAGTTCCACGTTGTAACTTTGAACTTAACAGTCTGGGCTGACATCTGGTGTTGGGGACTGCTGGATTGTCAAAGGCGCTACCCTTCAAATGAAATGTTAGCCGGGTGTCCAGTCTGTTTAGGTGGACATTAAAGATCCCCTGACACAATTTGAAAAGAGAAGTTTTTATTCAAAGTGCCTGACCAACAATCCCCTAAACAAAATGAGTCATTCACTTCATGGCTGTTTGTGGGACATTGCTGTGTGCAAAATCGCTTCTGCGTTCAACTACAAAATACACAATTACTGGGTATTTTACAGGTTATCACAAATTGGCTGCTGTTTGCCTACAAAATACAGTACCTACACTTTACAGTAACTCCTGTGAAGCGCTTTGAGATGTCTTGATGTGAAAGGTGCTACTGATTAGCAAATGCAAAGATTATTATTATGTTTTGTAAGTACTTGACATACAGTGCAATACAATTTACATTCATATAGCACCTTTCATGTCAGAAAAATGTCCATCAGTGCTTGACAATGCTGGTTGGGGTATGAGCTGAGAAGGGGAAAGATAACCGAAAGCGCGGTCAAAGAGGTGGATTTCAAGATGTTTTTTGAATGAGGTGAGGGAGGGAGCGAGTTGGTGGTACTCCAGGATGGAGTTCCAGACAACGGAGGCAGTTAGGCTGAAAACCGTCTATGACAGGACGACCATAAGTTCCTGATTTCCAGGGACAGTCCCCGGATGAGATATTGTGTCCCTGGCTAAATTTGCTCTGTCTTGAGTTCAGCAACAAACTGAGCAAGATCAATAAAATTCTAAAACAGATATACCGTCAGTGAAATACAGCTATTAATAATAAAAATAATCCTTGCATTTGATATAGCACTTTATCATGTTGTTGAGATGCTTCAAAAAATATACTGCAAAGTGTATTGACTATATTTTATGGGCGAAACGTGGCAGCCAATTGCACACAGCAGTGTCCCACAAAGTCATGGATTGAGTGACCACATTTTTTAAAAGGGATTATTACCCACGGAAAAACGATCCGCCAATCGACTAACAATATGTAAATACTGACCTTCTAGTGCAGCCTTTGCAGTGTGTAATGTTCAAATCAGGGTGTGTGTATGACGTGGACACAAGGTAGCTTGTGCTTTTCATAGATTTGATCTTCAATGAGGTATCAAGAATTTCAGACCACCTCTACAATATTAAACTGCATCAAAAATAGGCATTGGACTCAATATTAACATTCATGATCTGCGCTGATTACAGAGGTGGGTTTGAGTTGAGAGAATTCCAGTCTTCCTTGGAATACACAGATCATTTTTCTTTACAGCTGTCATTGCACAACTCAATCTGACTGCTTATACATTTCACCCCTATGAGCAGAAATATTTTCTTAATTTTTTAATTGATCCAGTTGTGGAGTCCTGTAGTGCAGTGGTTAGGGCACTCGTCATGCAAGCGAGAGACCTGGGTTCGATTCCCGGCAGAGTGAAACCTTGGGCAAGTTCCCTAACTCCACGCGCCTGATAATAATCCCTCAAGAAAAAAAAAATTTGGCCACTCAATCCACGACCGTTTGTGGGCCACTGCTGTGCGCAATTGGCTGCCGCGCTTCACCCACAAATTATACGGTCAATTCACTTTACAGCCTATTCTGTGAAGCGCTTTGAGACATCGAGAAGACCTGAAAAGCGCTATATCAAATGCAAGGATTATTATTATTATTATTATTATAACAACCGGTACTGTTAGGTACAACAACAACAAAATGACATTTGTAGAGCGCCTTTCACGTCGGGGGGGGGGACGCCCCAAAGCGCTGGTAAACCAGAGGCGTGTGGAGGAGGGGGACTTGACCTGCAGAAGGTTTTGCGCTGATCCTCTCTCACTGACTGGACGTGAGATCAAAGCCGCAACGTGGGGGTCCGAACCCACAACACCTTCTGACTCATTAGGTGAGAGTGCGACCAACTGAGCCAACAGGGCGTCCCCAGCAGCAGCTGCTGCAGCGCCGCTGAGCTACACACTCGCCACACGACCCCGGGATACGGTTTGACGCCATCTGGTGCCCCCGAGGGACGGTCCCCATCGGCGGACACTCCCGTCACTGTGCGTCAGAGCCGGAAGTCCGGCGCGGGGGATTGTGGGTAGCCCCCCCCCGGTCAGTCGGTCAGGTGACAGTGCGGCGGCGGTGCGCATGCGTGCGGGGAGCTGCTGGCCGGGGTGACGGGAGCTCCGGTAAGAGGCGACCCCGCGGCCCACAGGGGAGGAGAGAGCGGGGAGGCCATCCCCAACACAACCCTCCCCGTGTCCCGCAGTGCGGGCGGGCCCCGAGCGCCGCCGCCCCCCGCCCTGCCCCCGGCCCTGCCCCTGGGCCTGTGGGCGGCTCCCGGGCTCCAGGGCCGCCAACACCGCGGTTCGTTTGACAGAAAACAAAGCGGCCGCTCGTCACGTGACTCCCAGAGGCAGATCGTACTCGATCATCCCCCCCGTGACCCCCCGTGACCCCTCCCCCCCGTGACCCCCTCCCCCCCCGTGACCCCCCGTGACCCCCACCCCCCCGTGACCCCCTCCCCCCGTGACCCTCCCCCCCGTGACCCCCCCCGCCCCCCGTGACCCCCCCTCCCCCCAGTGACCCCCCCCGTGACCCCCCCCCACCCCCCCGTGACCCCCCCACCCCCCGTGACCCCCTCCCCCCCCGTGACCCCCTCCCCCCCCCCGTGACCCCCCGCCCCCCCCGTGACCCCCCGCCCCCCGTGACCCCCCGCCCCCCCCGTGACCCCCCGCCCCCCCCCCGTGACCCCCTCCCCCCCGTGACCCCCTCCCCCCCCGTGACCCCCCTTCCCCCAGTGACCCCTCCCCCCAGTGACCCCTCCCCCAGTGACCCCCTCCCCCCCCCGTGACCCCCTCCCCCCCCCAGTGACCCTCCCTCCCCGCCGTGACCCCCCCTCCCCCCTTGACCCCCCTCCCCCCAGTGACCCCCCTCCCCCCAGTGACCCCCCCTCCCCCCCAGTGACCCCCCTCCCACCCCATGTCCCCCCTCCCCCCCCGTGTCAACCCCTCCCCCCTAGTGTCTCCCCCCCCAGTAAACCCCACTGAGCCCAAACACCCAGTGATGGGGGGACTGGTCCTGGCTTGAACAAACAGCGGGGAGCTGGCCAGACCCTTCTCTCGATGGTGACCCCTCTGTGCAGGTTTAGTTTGTTAAGCTCCAGCAGCAACACTACACGCACTCTGGGGTTTACAAGCCTGGGCTCTGGCCAACATGGAATTGGGTCAGCGGGGTGTGTCCCGCCTCTCCCACCAGGAAGAGAGTGCGCATTCCATTCCAGACACTGGGGAATTTCCACGTGTAAATGGTGTACATGTGGTACTCTGCCAGGTTTGAATATTTTAAAGCCCAGCCTGGCGGTGGGTTTCCGCATGTGTCAGGCACCCGGCTGACCAAAAATAATTAGCTTAATTAGTAAGCTACCTGCCCCCATTTTTTCATCTATTTCTTTTCCTTTGCCATGTTACATAAAGTACTTCGATGGTAGTTTGTGTTTAGTCTCAAGACAACAACAATAACTTATATACACCATTTACACCATTCGTGTAAATAATAATAATCCTTGTACCATTGAAAATGACCAATTATTGTTTTGGAAGGATTATTATTGCAATACTTTGAGATCATATATATATTTAGATATAAGGTGAGTAACTTACCCTTTAAAGGCTCTGAGATACTACCTGCGTGAAGGGTGCTATACAAATCCAATTTGTTATTGTTGTTGATACAGTAAAATTCACATAAGTCGTATCAGTTGGGACAATAACATTTAACACAGTATGACTTATGCACAGTATGAGTTATGGCAAATTTGCATAAATCGTATAATATATGACTTGGGTAAAGTTATGTATGTCAGATTTTATATGATTAATGTTAACAGATACATAAGTACTGAATTGGTTGGTGACATTTAGGTAAGGATACATGTTTTACACATGCATATTAAAGCTATGGTCTCCCAAAAAAGAACATCTTAAAGAGTTTGGCATGTTGTAGTGAAAAATGAGAATGGACATTGAAGGTTATTGACCAAAAGAGNTTTTTAAGGTGCAGAGTAATAGTGAGATGAAGTGATTCTTGGAGGAGAATTTCAAGGTAAATGAGTCTTGCGGTGGGAAAGAGGAATAAGGCAGCTCATGGGCTGCTGTGAAAAATCCAGTGACGTTTACTGTGGGATGCTTTGCTGAGGATTCCCAGGCTAACATAGACTGAAACTATCAGACTGTCCAGAAGGTATCATACTCTGTGATGGCCGCAGGGATTTTAGAAGAAGTAGTGTTTGAAAGGGAGCAGATGAAAGTGGCGTGGGGAGGCAAATCGGAGTTGGATGGGGAAGTGGAAGTAAAGTTGAGAAATCTGAGGGAAAAAATGGGTCAAACCACACTTTGTGAAGGGATTTGAACACAAGTGTGAGGATAATAATATAATAATCTTTGCATTTGATATAGCGCTTTTCACGCCGGAAGGACGTCCCAAAGCGCTTCACAGAACACACTGTAAAGTGAATTGACTGTATTTGATCTTGAAGTCGATCCATTTGGTGATGGGGAGCCAACAACAGCAACGTAATTACATTTGTAAAGTGCCTTTCACGTCCGGTGGATGTCCCAAGGCTACAGTGGGTGAACATGAAACAGACAGCGTTTGATGAGCAGAGGGAATGACTAGGTTGCAGAGGTAGGGTGAGGCAAGGCATAGACATTTGTAATTGAAGATGAGAATTTTGAATTTGATCTGCTGGGAATGGGGAGCCAGTGGAGCTGATCGAGGATGGGGTTGATGGTGCATTTCCACTATTTTTATTCTATTCTATAATACAAGGGTGTTATTGCTTTTAATTCAGAGATTGAGAACTGATTTATGTTTCCTATTTCCAGTCACTCTTGGAAGCTCTTATTCTGTAGATACTCAGCATGAATGATAAATCATGACTTATGTTCTTTAATACAAAGTAGTCCCTCAAACGTTCTGTAGCTCTTGCATTTAAAGAAATGTGGAGATTTTCAGCACAGAAAAAGGCCATGCAGCTCATCACATGTGTACTGCTGTTACCCATGTACAATATTCCTTGTTATAACATCTTTTACGTTGGGAGGATCTTCCAAGCGCTTCACAGGATATACTGCAAAGTGCAGTGATTGTATGTTTTGTGGGCGAATGCAGAAGACAAATTTGTGCACAACAATGTTTATTTTTTTAAATGAATCCCACTTTTCTTCAAAAAAATTTAACTAACAACTAACAAAAGGAAAGTTCCAGTGAAACTTTCTTCTCAATAGCCTCTCACATTGATTTATACTGAGGGAAGGTCCATTGTTGTAATTCAGAGTAAGCATGTTTGTATCCAAAATGGAAAAGTAGTAAAAGTATTCAACTGTAGGCAATATTCTTAACTTTGTTGTTCTCTTTTCTTCCCTTCCACCTGGAAACTCAAATGCTGGTCACAGATAGAGATCTACTGGTTGATTCTCTATCAATAAGTTCAGTTGGAAAATCCCATTATAGGCTCACCCTGAATTTACTGAAAAGAAGAGAATTGGATGCACTCATTATTATACTTATGTATTTGGGGAATCAATTCTTCATTTAGCCCTTCATTTAGCTTTAACTCTTAAGTTTATCCGATATTCACAATCCTCCTGTCTGTAAGATGCATAGTGCACTGCTTCTTCTTTGTATTTTTTTTGGAAGGACATTAGACCTGTCAAACATCATGGACATGTTAGGTGTTCATTGTAAAAGGAGTAGACTTAAAACTAATTATATGGAGCTATTATTATTTTAAAATTGGTGCACAATAAATTAGTTCAGGTTTTAAATCTGAAATTGGTGATTGGTGTTCCAGTGAGTGATGCTTGCCAATTCAGGGTAACTCCGTTTAAATTCTTCTTGAGGCTAGATTTTTGGTCACAAAATGTTGTGCCATGTCATGTAATAGAAACAGAAACAATAGAATTGGGGAAATTTTTTTATGGTCAATCTGTTGTTAATCACTAACATGTCCTGGGCCAACTGCTGGGAGCATACAGCAATGTAGAATGGGAACCTGGGTTTATGATGCCTGCTCTACTTTGCTTGCAACCAAGCCAAAAAAAAACTTCTGCGTAACAAAGAAGCAATTAAACAACAGGCTCCTTAATAATCATAAAAATTGTTTAAAGTACCAAGGCTATCTATGGGATAGGCTGAGAGCATTGAGCAATCTGGCGGTAGAGGAGAGAAAGCGCAGTAAAATGCACACTCACTGGTTGATGCTGTCTTTCCTCATTAAGCACTTTGTTTTGTTATTGATTTACGACTTTAAAATTATTGAACCTATTCTGTTCTGTGGAAATAGTGCAGCATTTTTCAGAATTGGGACCCCTTGTATGTTTGTGCTCTTGATATTTCATTGTTTTTCAAATGATTTACAATGTATGGCCATCTCTAAAACAACATTTGTGGAGTAGTAAGTGGTTTTGGAGACTGCTCATACTTATTCTTCTGCATTTTAGCTCTGTTTTGTTTTATTTCAGAATTAGACTCGTTTGTGTGGAAACCTCAGACGAACATGGCAGATGTAAGTCATATGTTGCTAACTAAACGGAAATTGAGTGTAGTTCCAATCTGCTGTACTGCCAGGCTATCTGAATGGTAACATGTTTAATGAGCACAGCATTGTTAAAAATGTTTGCTTTCTGAAACATTACCCAAAAGATAGTGGCCTGTGCAAGTCCTTCCTTGTACATTGCACACATGCAGTGATTTTCTTGACCCATCACAGCTATCTAGCTTCCGGCCCATCTCAAATCTCCCCTTCCTATCCAAGGTCCTTGAGAGAGTCGTTGCCTCCCAACTTTGCTCTTTCCTCTCCTCTCACTCCCTCCATGAACTCCTCCAATCGGGTTTAATAATAATAATAATCCTTGCATTTTATATAGCGCTTTTCACGTCAGGAGGACGTCCCAAAGCGCTTCACAGAACACACTGTAAAGTGGATTGACTGTATATTTGTGGGCGAACGCGGCAGTCAATTGTGCACAGCAATGTCCCACAAACAGTTGTAGATTGAAAATGACCAATTTATTATTGTTTTGTTTTTTTGGAGGGATTATTATTAGGCTCTGTGTGGAGTAAGGAAACTTGCCCAAGGTTTCGCCCTGTGCCTGGAATTGAACTCAGGTCTCTCACTTGCAAAGTGAATGCTCTAACCACTGAGCTACAGGACTCCACAGCAGGGAAACTGCTCTGGTCAAGGTCACAAACGACATCCTGACCATGTGTGACCAGGGCTCCCTCTGCCTCCTCGTCCTCCTCGACCTCTCCTCCGCCTTTGACACCGTGGACCACTCAATCCTCCTCCACCGCCTCTCCTCCCACCTCAACCTTCAGGGTTCTGTCCTTGACTGGTTCAGGTCCTATCTTTCTCACTGCCTCCACTTCGTCTCAGCTAACGGCTTCTCCAGCCCCCGCACTGTCTCATGCGGTGTTCCTCAGGGCTTTGTCCTCGTTCCCCTCCTCTTCACCCTCTACATGCTCCCCCTTGGTGACATCATCCGCAGACATGAGGTAAATTTCCACATGTATGCGGATGACACCCAACTCTATCTCTCTGCCTCCACCCTCAACTCCAGGACTACTGACGTCCTGACCGACTGCCTGTCCGACATCAAGTCCTGGACGAGGGCCAACTTTCTCCAACTCAACGTCAGCAAGACCAAGGCCCCCCCTAATTGGCTTGCGCCAGCGCCTCCGCACCTCAGGCGCCGGCAGCATCAGCCTCCACGGCCGCACACTCAACCTCACTAAGTCAGTCAGGAACCTGGGTATCTTGTTCAATCTTGTTCAGTCCTGAACTGTCCTTTCTCCCCCACATCCGCGCCATGACTGGCACTGGCTACCACCTCCGCAACATTGCCAGTCTCCACAACTGTCTCACCCCTGCCAAAACCCTCACCCATGCATTCGTTACAGCAAAACTCGACTACGGAATCTCCCTCCTCATCGGCCTTCCCAACTCTTCCCTTCACAAACTGCAGATCATCCAAAACTCTGCAGCTCGTGTACTCTCACGCACCAGGTTGCCTCCTTCAAGGCCGGTCTAAAAACCCTTCTCTTCGATCGTGCATTCGGTCGCCCCCCCACCTCTCTGCCTTCCCTCACCCCTACACCACCCCTCCCCCATGCACATGCCCCGACACCTGACTGTTCAGCGCTTTGGGACGTCCTCCCAACGTGAAAGGCGCTCTATAAATATAGTTTTGTTGTTGTTGATATGTTCCTACTGCTAAGGCCTGCTTTATTTGTGAAGTACAAACAGAAATTCACCTGTCATCTCCGGTGCTACATACAAAACTGAAGCTTTCTGACTGAGTGGATTCTACTTTCCTTTCGATTTGTTATATGACCATTCTGCGTAACAATTCCAAGTAAAACTTTCTGAATGGCTGTGTGAGAGAGCACAACAGAGAGAGAGAGAATGGTGAATGAAATCTGACTTTGAATTGAATTGCTGCAACATATGGACAGACACTTGACTTTTTGATCCTGATGAATAGCTATCAAAGAAACTGACAACAACAACATCAAATTGCATTTGTATGGTGCCTTTCATGTTCAGACAGCAAGTTGGCTAGTAAACAATTGACATTGGATGCTATGAAACCATCATACTTTTAGAATATAAATATTCAATACTCTATTACTCATTTGTCCTTGCTTGAGCTGCTGCTGAATTTTAAAGAACCTGTTCATTGGAGCAGCTCATTGATATCTTTTTTGACATCAAATGAGGGTGGGATCTCTATTACACTGCAGCAACAACAACACAACAACAAAATTACATTTATGGAGCGCCTTTCATGTCGGGAGGATGTCCCAAAGTGCTGGACAGTCAGGGGTCAGGACCCGATCATGGGGCAGGGGTGGGGTAGGGGTGAGGGAAGGCAAAGAGGTGGGAGGGCGACTGAAAGCATGATCGAAGAGAAGGGTCTTGAGACAGGCCTTGAAAGAGGCAAGGGAGGAAGCGAAGGGAAGGAGATCCAGAGTGTGGGGGCAGAGAGGCTGAAAGCCCGGCCACCGACGTTAGGGTGGGTCAGGCAGGAGACATGGAGCAAACCGGATCCCGCTGAACGGAGGGAGTGGGCAGGTTGGTGGGGAGTCAGCAGGTCAGAGAGGTAGGAGGGGGCAAGGCCATGGATGACCTTGAAAGTGAGGACGAGGATCTTGAATTTGGTCCTATGAGCAAGACAGCCCAAAGGCTAATTTTCTTTTTCCAGTTAGGGCACAAAAGTGCTCCCATAGAAAATTCCCAACTTCTGTTTAAAATAGACTTGTTACATTACCAGGAGTGCCCAACCTTTCACCCTGTCTCAATGTATATCAAAGGAAGGGCTGTATAAACGTTACGATTTCAAAAAACCTAGCAGTTTAAAGATGCTAGATAACTGTTTTTTTTTAGTAATTGCACGTTCAGCTACTTTGTGGAAGACCTTTGCCAGATCTGCACAGCTGTGGCTACAATTGACCATCTCCCATTCTAACCAAATGCAGTACCAACTTGCCTTTTCCAGTATCTTATTGCTTAAACTGCCAGACTGTCTTATTTACTTTGCCTTTATCTCTTGACTGGAATAACAAGGAATTATTGTCTGTGTGAAAACCCAAACATAACACGACAGTTATGCAAATACTGCAGGGAAGTAGATACACAATGGATGTCCAGGTCCTTTTGTAAACCCTTTATTATTTCAGCAACTGAATACTGTGAATCTCCACATTTTATGACTTAAAGGTTAGGAAATGGAGATATTCCCAGTTGATGCTTTTTTAAAACAAATTGCCTTTATGTTACTGTCTAGATGTGCAATTTGTTTTCAAAACCATAAAATGATCAGTTGGTCATTCATCTTGTGCTGCTTATGGGACATTGCTGGTGAAGATTAGCTGCTGCTTTCGTCCACACAAACCATAGCGACTACACTTTAAAGTAACTGATTATTTGAAGCACTTTGCAATGTTTCGATGTGATAAAGTGCTGAACGAAATCAAGGGATTATTTTTTCATTTTTATTTATTTGAAGCTGCAATCAATTTTGAAATGCATAGTTGTGTTTATCTATGCAGGAAATGTAAGATTTGTTCTCTCTGTTGTACAGGATTTGAAGCGGTACCTTTATAAACAGTTGCCCAGGTAAGCTTATTAAAATGAAAATTTTCCTGTGAAGCAGAGTGATCAGTTCTACTCTGCTTCACAGTAATGCGAGTTCCTTATCTGATTTCATTTTTGAGTATTACAGCATGAATTGAGAACCTTGCATGGCTTATAAATTCAGAGCAGTCTTTGATCTTGTAAATAGACGGTTGACATTTTTGATGCAAATTGCAAATATATCAACTACTACTTTCTGCTGGAACTGTGTTCACAGATGATTTCTTTTCAAATGTAAACTGAGGGGAGTAGCTGCTGGAAAATGAATGAATTGTAAGAGTTGAAAACTATGAACTTGAATTTTAGTCTTAATTTATGTGGCCTGATAAAACTGTAGGGAATCATACTAAAAGCATATTCTGGAGGACAGAAAGGAAAAATACTGTAGTTCTATGAGTGTTTATTTCTAAGAATAACTTATTTCTGATTCTGGCCGTACTGCCAGTATTAAAATATTGAATATTCTAAGTATTTTGCAATTTGACATTGACATTTTAAATGCAGGTATCCCATTTGTATCTCAGTAATTTAATTCCTCCCCAACTAACACCACACCATGACTTTCCAAAGGCTTGAAACCTGCCCACTCTAAAGCCCAGCTTAAGAACTTTTCTTTTGGACACCTTTTTGAACAGCTCCCCTGCCCCCAGCTATTTGAAATATCCTTCTGATGTGAAAGGCACTATATCAATGTAAAATTGTTGTTTTTAGAGAAATGTTTAGTTTTCCACTACCACGTTTTGCTTATTTTAAGGATGTTTTGCACTCGCAAATTGTAAACTGGTTTACATTTTAGTTTACACTTGGGGTGCTTTAAAACATTGTTATTTTTCTATACATATTCTTTTGTTTTTGTCCATGCATATCTGTAGTTTCCATACAGAGATTAAACAGACAAATTGTAATAATAACAATAATAATCCTTGCATTTGATATAGTGCTTTTCACGTCGGGAGGACGTCCCAAAGTGCTTCACAGAACACACTGTAAAGTGAATTGACTGTATATTTGTGGGCGAACGCGGCAGCCAATTGCGCACAGCAATGTCCCACAAACAGTCGTAGATTGAAAATGACCAATTTATTATTGTTTTTGGTTTTGGAGGGATTATTATTATTATTATTGTAAAGCACCTACCACAAAAAAGATTAAGAATAAACATCGAAATTGGTTGGTGTTGGAGTTCTCCTATGATTTGATTGCTTCACAGATATTTTTCAATTTAATTTAAATTTTCAGTAAAAATAGAACCACATAGATGCTGAAATAGATTGTTGTGAATAATTGTGTTTTTATTGTTTTATAGTGTTGAGGGTCTCCATGCCATTGTAGTGTCTGACAGAGATGGAGTACCTGTAATTAAAGGTAATTTCAAGTATCTTAAACATTTTTCTTGATTTTGATCTTGTAAACATCAGTATCTGCAGTATGGCAGTTTTCCATTATGTTTAATATAGATTTTCTCTTAATCTTCTATGTGTACAAAATACAGCGTGTGAACAATTAAAGCAAGAATACGGATCAAAATGAATTGTACTTGATTCATATAATAACAGGGTTCAACATTCACCACAACTTTTAGTCTTTCAAAGCACAGGAATTAAAGCCATTGAAATGGTGCCCACTTTGGCTTTGTGTATTCATGAAGATTTTTTAAGATTATAATATAGCCAACGTTAATCTGACCTCAGTTATTTATCCAATAAATTCAGTGTGAATGTTAATTTACAGTTGTGTATCATCAAAGGTAATTGATTACCTCTGAATGGGTTTAATTACAACAACAACAACAAGATTCCATTTATAGAGCGCCTTTCACGTCAGGAGGACGTCCCAAGGCGCTGCACAGTTGGGTCATGACCCGAGCAGGGTGAGGGGAGGGAAGGGAGGGAGAGAGGAGGGGGGAAATGGTCAGGGTGAGGGGAGGGAAGGGAGGGAGCGAGGAGGAGGAAGAGAGTCGAGAGGGGAGCTGAAGGCACGGTCAAAGAGAAAGGTTTTGAGACCGGCCTTGAAGGAGGAAAGGGAGGAAGCGGCGAAGGCACTGGGGGATGGAGTTCCAGAGCCTGGGGGCTGAGAGGCTGAAGGCCCGACCACCGATGGTAGGGCGGTTGGGGCGGGGGATGTGGAGCAGACCGGAGCCAGAGGAACGGAGGTTACGGGCAGGTAAGTAGGGGGATAGTAGGTCGGAGAGGTAGGAGGGAGCAAGGCCGTGAATGGCCTTGTAGGTGAGGATGAGGATCTTGAAATCAATCCTCTGGGGGATGGGGAGCCAGTGGAGGTGAGCGAGGGTGGGAGTGATGTGGTCGCGAAGCCTGGTGCGGGACAGTACACGAGCTGCAGAGTTCTGAATGACCTGCAGTGTGGAGGGAGGTGCCGGGAAGGCCGGCGAGGAGAGAGTTCCCATAGTCCAGCCTTGAGGTGACAAAGGCGTGGACCAGGGTTTCAGCGGCGTGAGGGGTGAGGTAGTGCCGTAATCTGGCGATATTCCGGAGGTGATGGAAGGCGGTGCCAGTTGTGGTGCGGATGTGAGGGAGAAAGGACAGCTCAGGGTCGAACAAAACGCCGAGGTTCCTGACTGGCTTTGAGAGGTGGAGAGTGCAGCCTTGGATGCTGAATTAGTAAGAATTTCAAAATATTCATGNTTTTTGCCCTGTGCTGTGCTCAGAACCATTAGTAGTTATGCTGCAGTAACTTTAACCAATATAGTTTAGCAATGAAGGAAGGCCCCATAGCAGCACTCTGAAAGCACAGAGTATAGTTAACTCTCCCTTAATATTGATTCGCTTTCATGGGTGTGGTGGGGGAAGAGATTTGCAGCATTGTTAACACTAGATGCATTCAGTGTATTAGACCCAGCAAACTCTGGACAAAATCATACATCTTGCCAACAAAATAGTAAGGTAATGATTGTTGATATGGATTACTTTGTTTCAGTTGCTAATGATAATGCCCCAGAGCATGCACTCAGGCCTGGATTCCTCTCCACCTTTGCCCTAGCCACAGATCAAGGAAGCAAGCTGGGACTCTCAAAAAACAAGAGCATCATATGCTATTACAATACTTACCAGGTAAAGGCGTTCATGTTACATTAATGCAGACTTCAAATTGAAAGGGTGTAGAGCATTACGTATTTCCTTCTCATCATTCTTTCTCACCTTTCCCCTATTTTGTGTATGTATGTACTTTGGATCAAACATTGTCCCTTGTGATTCCCCTTTTGAAGGTTGCATGGGAGTAAAATTTTGATTGGTTTCATTCTGATTGAATGTACCTCTATTGCAGTAGAATACAACATTCAAGGCATAGACAAAAACATATTTCTCAATTTTACCAGACTTATAGGGGAGAGGTTTGTTTAAAAACAATGAAGCTTTCCTTGGACCTGTGGCAAGCTTTGGAACTGCATTCTGAAATGTTGCTCAAAAATGGTGTGTGAGGAATGGTTACGTTTCCCCGAATGGATTTTCAAAAATTGGAGAAGGAGACCCTAGTATTTACAGCTTTTCCAAAGCTCGGGAGTTGGGGGCTGAAAGTGATACAGTTTTTCAGTATTGTTTTCAGTGAGGAGTGGCAAAAATCAACATCATACAGAATGAAACCTCAATGTGTACCATAATGTGGAGTCCTGTAGCTCAGTGGTTAGAGCACTCGCTTTGCAAGCGAGAGAACTGAGTTCAATTCCAGGCACAGGGCGAAACCTTGGGCAAGTTTCCTTACTCCACACAGAGCCTAATAATAATCCCTCCAAAAAAACAAAACAATAATAAATTGGTCATTTTCAATCTACGACTGTTTGTGGGACATTGCTGTGCGCAATTGGCTGCCGCGTTCGCCCACAAATATAGTCAATTCACTTTACGGTGAAGCGCTTTGGGACGTCTAGAAGACGTGAAAAGCGCTATATCAAATGCAAGGATTATTATTATTATTATAATGGACCCCAGACAATACTTTCAAAGGCAAGCTCACAATTTGTGCCTACTACTCTCTGGAATTGGCTAAGCAGAATATCTCCCTCTGAGGAGAAAGTGTCCGTTACATTCACAGGAATTTGTTTGTGTCGGTGACGTGCACAAGTTTGATTTGGGTACTGTTAAGGATGGTGATGGGTTTCCACAAAAATGGAACCACCCCCTCCAGCAGGCAAATGTAGTTGGCAGATATTTATCCTCCATTGTGTGGAAGTGCACCAACCTCATACCAAAGCCTGGGCCAGAACAGTCAGTTTAAAATGCTTATTGCTGCAATCTAACCTGTTTAAAGCTGTATTTACTGCATTTATCAACTAGATAAAGTCTCACAAAATTATTATTTGCAAACTTCTTAATCAGATTTTGTTTTGATTGTTTTATTGTTCTTTCCTAGGTTGTCCAGTTTAATAGATTGCCTTTGGTGGTTAGCTTCATAGCCAGCAGTAACGCTAACACAGGTAAAACTAGTGAATCATCTCCAGAGCTTTCTGTAATTGTTGTATAGTAACCAATTCCGGCTATAGTACATTGTTAATCTATCTCAATGATTAGGTAAACATGACAAACTGTTCGTGCTGGTGTATATAGAAAGACAATTAAAATTGGGGGAGGAGAGATTGAGATGAAAACAATGACATTCTGTGAAAATAGGGATTATTTTAGAACATCAAAAAACGCTAGATCAAGCCAGGTACTAAGTAAACATTAACGTTGTGGTTTTTAAAAAAACAGAGTACCATCACAGATCATGGAAACAAATCTGATTGATTTATTTTCACTCCAAAGAATGATGTCTTATAACGCATACATCTCAAAGCCAACCTTGCTTTTTGTTGCTTCTGGTAATTCCTAAAATGTACTCACCTGGAAGCATGTTGCATTGCTCATGCTTTCCCAGAAGCAGCGAGGAGAGTTTCGGGATGTGTGAGCACCATCATGGATACTAAATAAAATCGGCAAATTTGTCTTTTAAAAATGTAATTTGGGGAAGTTGAAAATCGTTTTTTGGCTTTCATCCCCCCAAAAAGTGCTTATTGGTGAAAGCTGATTTTAATGTCATTATTTATACATATTAAAGTGGTGGTAAGATATGCTTTTGTATCATGGGGATATTGCTGAAATATAACAAATATATGAAAGTATTGCATTACGAGACAGTCAATATGTTTCAAAGTGTCTCTTTGAGAGATCAGCTACAGTTCTCTTTTCCCTGTTGTCAATTTTAATTCCTCTCTGACCAACACCACACCATGAGTTTCCGACAACTTGAACTCTGCCCACTCTAAAACCCACCTTAAGAACCTTTCTTTTGGACAGCTCCCCTTCTCCCAGCTATTTGAGACATCCTTCTCATGTGAAAGGCACTATATCAATGTAAAATTGTTGGGTTTTTAGAGAAAATTTAGTTTTCCACTACCATGTTTTGCTTATTTTAAGGATGTTTTGCCCTCACAAATTGCAAACTGGTTTACATTTTAGTGTACACTCTGTAGGGTGCCTTAAAACATTGTTATTTTTCTATGCATATTTTGTTTTTGTCCATGCGTATCTGTAGTTTGCATACAGAGATAAAACGGACAAATTGGAAAGCACCTACTACAAAAAAAGATTAAGAATAAACATTAAAGTTGGTCGGTGTTGAAGTTCCTCTTTGAAATCTGATTTGCCTACATGTTTCCCATTTCAGATAAAGCATTTACTTGCTTGATTTTATGATGTGAGAGTGAGATTGTGTCTGGGTTGGTTTCTCTCAAAGGTGAGAGCAAACCTGAGCTGATCATACTGTGAATGACGAGAACAGAAACGGGAAGCTGAAGAAAAGATATTTTGGGACACTTACACTTCCTTTTAAGCTTTCTGCTGCTATTTTTTCTTTGAAATCTACAGTTGTCTTAACGATATGGGTTTATGGGGAAAATGTTGATGCAGAAATGAATGGTGCTTACAGCACAATAATATTGAAAATACATTTATAAAAGTGTTCATGTTTTTTGAGGGAAGAGGGAGGCTGGATTGATTCTGGAGAGATACCTCTGGGCTGTCCAAGATTGAAACCATGGAAAAAGAGCGAGTAGTGGTACCTATTGAAAATATTTTTGACCATTTCCCAGCATCGACATGTGCCATTTATCCTCTTCTGATAATTATTTGCTTACTTTCATCTACACGCAGTCACTACACTTCACAGAATCTTTGAAGAGCTTTGAGATGTTCCTGATGTTATAGTGTTTCATCAAATGCAAGGATTTTTATTATTATTATGAACCAGAGTCATGTATGTGCTTGATGTGAGAACTGCAATTGGTTCCCTCTCCCTCCCCCACAATTTCACAAACCAGTGGGTGCTGTCGGTTCTTGTTCCACATGTATGAAGATAACATCTAAATCTACTTCTCCAGCTGCGACTCCCAGTCTGCTGATGTCCTGTCAACTTGTTTGATGGATATCAAGGCCTGGATGAGCGAAAATTTCCTGCAGTTGAATGTCGGCAAGACGGAAGCCATACTCTTTGGCTCCCGTCAACATCTTCTCTCCAGCGGGTCTGACCTCAACCTCCCTGGGCTCTCCTTCAGACTCACTGTGCACAACTTAGCCGTCCAATTTGATCCCCAGCTTTCCTTTCTACCCCACATCCATTCCCTGACCAGGACCGCTTTTTTCCACCTCTGTCACATTGCCCACCTCCATCCGTACCTCACAACCAAAGAAGCCGAAACCCTCGTCCACACCTTTGTCATTTCCTGGCTAGACTATTCCCATGCCCTCCTCGCTGATCTTCCCAGCTACACCATACACAAAATTCAGCTAATTCAGAACTCCACCACTTGGATTCTCAACCGCACAAAACTTCATACCCCCATCACGCCAGTCCTTGCCAGGCTCCACTGGCTCCCAATCACCAAACAGAGCAATTTCAAAATCCTCTCACTCGTTTTCAAATCCCTTCATACCCTCTCACCTCCCTACCTCATGGAGTCCTGTAGCTCAGTGGTTAGAGCACTCGCTTCGCAAGTGAAAGACCTGAGTTCAATTCCAGGCAGAGCGAAACCTTGGGCAAGTTTCCTTACTCCACACAGAGCCTAATAATAATCCCTCCAAAAAAAAATAACAAATTGGTCATTTTTAATCCACGACTGTTTGTGGGACATTGCTGTGCGCAATTGGCTGCCGCATTCGCCCACAAATATACAGTCAATTCACTTTACAGTATATTCTGTGAAGCGCTTTGGGACGTCTAGAAGACGTGAAAAGCGCTATATCAAATTCAAGGATTATTATTACTATTACCTCTCCGATTTGCTTATCCCTCACCAGCTGCCTCCACTTGGTCGGCTCTGGCCTCCTGTTCGTCCCTTGTACCCGCCACTCCACCGTCGGTGTCCATGCCTTCAGCCATTACGCCCCGAAACTTTGGAACTCTCTTCCTCAATCTCTCCGCCTTGCTGCTTCCCTCCCCAACTTCAAATCCCGCCTAAAGACCTTTTTTAAACATGCTAAACCTCTCCACTCCCCCTCCCCCTGGCTTAGAGTCAGACTCTAGCATTGTTAAACACTCTGGGACGCTACAACAACAATATTCCATTTATAGAGCGCCTTTCACGTTGGGAGGACGTCCCAAGGCGCTGGACAGTTGGGTCAGGACCCAAGCAGGGGGGAAATGATCAGGGTGAGGGGAGGGAAGGGAGGGAGCAAGGAGGGGGTAGAGAGTCGAGAGGGGAGCTGAAGGCACGGTCAAAGAGAAAGTGAAGGGCGCTATATAAATGCAAGTTGTTGTTTGGGTAAGAATAAATCTCAACGTGATTTCCTTCTATCCTGTAACACACTCAGTGAGGTGGCAGTAAGCTTATAAAACATCATAGCTGTGGTTAGTTGTTGTACAGAAATCAGATTTCCAGATGTGCTGCTTTTCCATGTGTTCATACACATGTACCAATTCTAACTGCCTGCCAAGTTCAGTTCAGGCACACATCTATGGTGAACTGTATTAGATTTGCACTGGTGTACTTTAGTCAAGCAATTAAGATACAGGATTGAATAGCATGGTTTTAAGTGTGCATAAATGGGCCTATTCACACATCGATGTGAAACAATAGCAATCTCAGATAGAATTAAACTTGCAAGTCTAAGAAGAGTAGTTAAGAAACTCTGCAGCATTCTTTAAAAAAGAAACTGCTGGAACAAGGTGTAAATAACAATGTTTGCATTTGATAGGGCTTTGATATTGAAACGTCTCAATGTATTTCACAGTATTTATTGTTCAATGTAGTGACTATATATTTGTAGGTGAACACAGCAACAAATTTGTGCGCTGGGAGGTGAATAACCAATTTATCTGGAAGACTGTTGGCCAGGATGCCACTCTTTTCGAATAGTGTCATGGTATTTAGTAATGTCCACCTGAACAGGCAGATGGGACCTCAGTTTAATTTCTCAGCACCCCTGTACTGGAGTGTAACCTAAATCATAATGGATATTGATGCATATAGGAGAGCATGGTTAACTGCAAATTTAGCTAATCTGCTTATTTTGCCTTTAAAGGTTTGATTGTGAGTCTGGAGAAAGAACTAGCACCACTCTTTGAAGAGCTGCGTCAAGCTGTGGAGATTTCTTGAAGCAGACCCACCAGACAAGGAAACTGATGTTGCTCCTGGAAGATCTTGGAACTTTTGCTTTGCATTTGATATGCTGCATTTGATTTCCAGTTCAAATATAGCCTAAACCTCTTTTGAATTGTGGAATTAAATCTTGTTTCAAAATCCTTGTAAGGTTGAGATAAGAATAAACTTCTGCACTTGGATTCTGTTGAACAGTATTTCCACAATACTGGATTTGTTGATTCACTCTCATGAGTGATGTGTTGTGCACATCATGGAGACCTATACTGTTTTGTTTTTGAATGAATTAAATGTTAGCCTATTATGGCATTGTTTCTGTCACAGCATGTGGAGTGTCAGAAGCTGTAGGCAGTCAAACATACAAATTTGGAAATTCCTGGTTTAGCTAGAATTACTCTCATGTGCCAAAGGTGAATCCCACTCAATAACATTCCGAATGTTAACGTCATGAAACTGAGTTGTAAAACCACTGTTCTGCTAACTGGCAATCAAATGTAACGATCTGAAAACAGACTGACTTCTCTGATGTTAACAATCAGATTGGTGGCCGACCTGAGGCACAGCTGGATAATTCCAATTAGATGTTAGGAGTTTCTAAATTCAAACCACACCCCATCCTCTGTGCATTGTGTACTTTGCTTTTTAGCAAGAGAGAGACTCTTGCATTGGTTTCTGTTTTTACAGTGTCGTTTTGACTTTAATACAGTCCTTGTCCTGATATGTGCTGTACAATCGTGTTTGAACTGCCTGTTGTGCTGTTGGTTATCAAGCACAGAATGGAGCAGTGATTTATTTGTTTACATATAAAGAGAAAATAAATACAAGTAATGAAAGTTGTCATCTTTCTGGATTTTTATTTTCTTATATTATACTGGTATTGCTTTATCACAATGAATTGTTTTACAATATAAAACTTGTTAATTTAATACAGTGAAAATATATAAAACCTGCCAGGGATTACAAAGTTTATCATGTCTCCAAAATAAACTGAAGATCTTTATATATTTAGCTAAATGTAACCTATGTCCCCACTGCTCTTCACCAGGAAGATGAGATGATCCAGCCTGTGGACACCTTTTGCTGACACTCCAGGCACAAATATAGAGAAAGCAATATCGCATGCATCAGTTGGGACAAAGAACCTTCATCCCCAGAATCACAGATAACCTATTAACACAATTCAAAATAATCTCAGGTTTAGATTGGAGTTCACATCAGAATTGAGTTCAACATCCTCATTCTCACCTTTACAACCCTCCAGTATCACATCCCACTGTACGTGTGCGACCACTTCAAAAGCTACTGAACCACCTTCCTTCACTCAGCAGACATCTGACCTATTTCATGTCAACTATCCTACCATTAGCAGGCACGCTTTCAACCTATACCCCTCACCTTGGACTCCAACCCAGACTGACTTGCTCTCTCTTGGAATCCCTCTGATTTATTCTCCCTCTGACTCGCTCCTTCCCTCACATCATTCAAGGCCCATCTCAATTTGTATCTTTTTGACCGTGCTTTTGGTCATCTTTTCCCACCCCAGCTTGGAAGGCCAGCCAGTTCTGTTAAGAACTTAGGGATGTCCGTTTGACATGAAAACCGCTGTGCCAAATATAAGGATTATTATTATAAATTTGTATTTTTGTAAAGGTAAAGCTGATCTTGAAAAGTTAGAAGAGGCTTCAACAGTCTACTTAACCAGATTTGTCGGGATTATCAAAATTAAATGCAATATTGCAAAACAATCATCACATTCCATAAGCAACCACAATTTTCTTCACAACATTGTTTTGGATGAAGGGGGTCCTTTGGCTCATTTGATTTCATCGTTCTGCAACACTCACCAACCATTTTCCCATCACAGAATCAAGCTATTTTTAAAATGATTTACTGTGCTCATTGTTTTGTTCACTTGAAGTTTAAAGTTTTCATTCCGTTGAAGTGGTTATGCTACATTGTTTGGTGAACTCCCAGATTGTGATTAATACTACAGCATAGAATGCTGATTACCCCACACACTGACTATTTTTACACACAAAATACAGTCACTACACATTACAATATATTCTGTGAAGCACTTTGAGACGTCTCGAAGACACGATAACTCGCAATATCAAATGCAAGGCTTATTATTATCCATACAACACCACCAAGTATGTCTACTCAAGTCTATCAGATAGCAGCAAAAAGAAATATTTGTGTGCATAAGCTCAGCGATGCAATGTTACTGGTGATGTGAACTCACCACATCAATGTGGGTAAGATGCTGAGCCAATAACCTCACTTTATTCATGCGTTTTCACATACGTGCACAACTGAATTTCGATTTGCTGATAGTGTGAAGCTAAGTCTTTATACTCGATTATGAATAGTGTAGGGTAGTGGCAGAGAAAGGGACAGCCAGAAGGAGAGAGAAAAAGTTACGAGACTTCAAAAAAGAGAAAGACAGGAAGAGGGTTGGCAGTGTAGTACTTCAGTGATAGTATAACTCCTGATGGACGAGTATTGTGCTTAGCCAATTTTCATTTTGTGCAATAACCAATTATCTACACTGCTTATTCACTATGGGGTCACTCCCAAGTTATGTGATAATTGGCTCTGAACTGTAGCAGTGACATTTTTGTACCAGAACTTAAATGGGTTTTAAGTTGGAGTCCTGTAGCTCAGTGATTAGAGCACTTGCTTTGCAAGTGAGAGACCTGAGTTCAATTCCAGGCACAGGGCAAAACCTTGGGCAAGTTTCCTTACTCCACACAGAGCCTAATAATAATCCCTCCAAAAAACCCAAAACAATAATAAATTGGTCATTTTCAATCTATGACTGTTTGTGGGACATTGCTGTGCGCAATTGGCTGCCGCGTTCGCCCACAAATATACAGTCAATTCACTTTACAGTATATTCTGTGAAGCGCTTTGGGACGTCCTCCCGACGTGAAAAGCGCTATATCAAATGCAAGGATTATTATTATTATTTTTCGGGGTAAAAGTAAGCAGAAAAAAATGAAACCATCCTAATCAGCAGATTAGATAGAATTGTAGACGTTGATTAAAAAAACTCTGCAGGGCATCAGATAATTGTTGCTTTACTTAGCAGTACTTACATGAGTTGGTAATAAAGTAAATGTGTCAGACAGCATTATATTGATGGATTCTTACTTAAATGACCTAAAAACACAGTTGCAGCAGAGAATAAAAACACCTTATAATGAACACAGCAAAGCATACCAAGTAATGAACACACCAACCAAAACGTGCTACAGTAGAAGGATTGCGCAGAGCAGGCAAGAAAGTTAAATCATTTCAATATTGTGGGGTTCCACTAAACAAACTGAAGTTAATTACTTACTCATTCTATGTTCTCATCTTTAGTACAGTCAAGTTGAATGTGAGCTACGAAAGACCACCAGCATGTGGTACATTTAGATGGACAGTATGTACTTCACTGTCTTTGGTTTTCCACAGCATTCTTAGTTCCAGGTATTTATACTCGATTGAACGTTTGATTTTTTTTATTACTGTCAGTGTCTTGGTGCCTATGTAACTATAAAGAATTCTGTAAGTGAAGATTTGAAAACTACAGCTAACCTCTGTAGATAATGCAGGATGATATTTAGGATTTGACCCCTAAACTCCATTATTTCAATCACCCGTTGCAATTGTTTTTTTTCACAAAGACACATATCTGTGGAGCTGCTCGCTGGAGACATTTCTTCATAGATTTTGTAACACTGCTGATTTCTTTTTTTGATTCTGGAATAAAACGAGAATAAAAAGAGTTCACTTAGTTTGTTGTAAGTAAGCAAACAAAGCAATCTTTGTGGCATATCCCCATTTGTTTGGCTCACATTCAGGAGAAATCTTTTTAAAATTGATGTGAGGAGGGGAAGTAATTGCACTTTATTTTCAGGCTCCAAACACTAGTAGAAGGAGCCAGTCTCAAATCCTCTCTGCTGTGCCTCCTCTGCTCTCAGATATTGATGGGATTGCTGGCTGCCGATGGTAAATTATCACTACTCCCTCCACAGCCTCGCTCTCCTAACTCCTGCCCTCTGTTCAGCTAACATAGGGCCAAGCTTCACGTACCTATTCAGGGGTGAGCTATCAGCCTTTCTGAGTCTCCCCACCTACCACCACCGTCCCCCTCATCCCCCATCACTACCACCATAAAGGCTGCTTTGAGCCACCTTTTCAACTTCGTCACCTTTCCACCCAAACTACCTGAAGTTCCTTCTCCCTTGCTTAGAAGGAACTTGTATAAAGTGCTTACAGTTACAGATCTACTCTCCGATTATTTATACAATGTGTGGATGTTGGGGAAACTTTCACCATTTTGTTCATTCCATTATTGCTTTGCAACAAGGCTGTGAAATTACTAGCACAGGCTGGTCTTATTTTTGTGGGGTTTCTCTCTTTGAGTTGTACTTTGGACTTTACTATGTGTTGACTAAACTGTCTCCACATAACAAAAATTATAATAATAATTATTGTATTTGATATAACACCTTATCAGGTTGTTGAGACATCTCAAAGCGCTTCACAGAATGTATTGACTGTGTATATTGTGGGAGAAACACAGCAGCCAATTAATAATAATAATAATCTTTGCATTTGATATAGCGCTTTTCACGTCGGGAAGACGTCCCAAAGCGCTTCACAGAACACACTGTAAAGTGAATTGACTGTATATTTGTGGGCGAACGCGGCAGTCAATTGCGCACAGCAATGTCCACAAACAGTCGTAGATTGAAAATGACCAATTTTATTATTGTTTTTGGTTTTTGAAGGGATTCTTAGGCGTGTGGAGTAAGGAAACTTGCCCAAGGTTTCGCCCTCTGCCTGGAATTGAACTCAGGTCTCTCGCTTGCAAAGCGAGTGCTCTAACCACTGAGCTACAGGACTCCACGCCCGAAAGTGTCCCATAGACAGTCATGGAGTGAATGATCAAATTATTTATTTATGGGGGGATTATTACCCCCAGAAAGCGATCTGCCAATTGACTAACAACCAGGTTCCTACTTACTGCTAGGTAAACAGAGGTGTGTGGAGGAAGAAAACTTGCCCACGTTTTTGCCCTGCCTGGGAATCAAAGCTAGCGAGGCGAGTGCTCTAACCTCCACGCTTTGCGACACCAAAATTATTATTATTATTAGATTGAAAGAATGATTTCCTGACTTATCGTTGTGGGAAATTGGTTACGTAGCTAGATGGTGTAATGGTCTATTACCTTAAAAGGTTAATGGAATTGTTTGCTGAAAAGTAATGCTCTCCCAACATATTGTGAGCATCACCTTCCCTGCATTACCTCCTTAACTCACTTAAATTCACTTTAACAGCTTCCACTCAAGAACACGGGCACAGTTAACAGAGAAACCATCTTTATATTTAGTGACTTGTAAACAGCACTCACCAGTTTCCAGCGAATTAACTTGATCCATTCATCAGCTTCCACTCCCGTCTTTGTACACATGTAATATGTCCTTTCAGGGAATACTAAACTGCAAAGCGATTAAAAGTTATTTAATGTGAATCAATTAAAATGTGCATACTTAAAGTGAGCAGAAAATAAAAAAAATTGTGCTTTGCACAAGACAAATTTACTTTAATATGTAAATTATCGATGCTTCTGGCTGCATCGGGTGAATTAGTGTGTTTTGGTAGAAGGAACACGGAAAGGAAGTATACCTAGGTGGTAAGATTTTAAATGGACTAGATGAACAGAGGACCATGGTGTACAGATAGACAGATCATTAAAGGTGGTAATGAAGGTAGAAGAGGCCATAACAAAAGTAAACAGAATCCTTGGTATTATATCTAAAGACAAAAGCAGTTTGTATTGAACTTGTACAATAGCTCAGTTGGGGTCTTGTAGCACCCCATTACAGGAAGAACACAAAAGCAACAGAAAAGTTGCAGCACAGATTCACTGAGCTGTTATCAGGGAGGAAAGGTTTCAGTTATTAAGAGAAACTCAATCGGTTTTTCACTGGAGCTGAGAGGTTAAGGTATTTCCTGCTTAAGGTTTTCACAATTATGAAGAGTAAATAGTAAATTATTTTGACTAGTCAGTAAATTAAAAATAAAGATGCACAAGTATCCTGCCCAATGGCTATTGTTCATGTGTGGATCTTGGCAATGAGTGTTAGCAGGTCACTACACTAAATTGTAGCAGACGTTACAGTCAAGCCTGTCCTCTTCTCATCCGCCTTCCACATGTTCACCAGTGGGTGCTGTAGAGCGACCAGGAGCAGGTACCCTGGCTCTTGTTTCCCTCCCTAACCCTAGAAAGGCTGGGGTCAACTTAGCCTCTCCACCCGAACCTGGCTCAGGCCATTAAACTCAACAGCAAACAAGATGATGATTTGAACCAGCGAGCTTCCGGGCTGTCAAATAAGTTCTTACCAAAAACAATTGATTCTTTCCTGAGAGTAGTCAAATTGTACCCCGGTGCATTCTGTTAGATCCAGTGTTTTAATTGGCTCTGAAGACTGCAAAACAAGTCATTTGTACAAAGATGTTTTATAGACCAATGCAGTAAACATTACTTAATAAAGTCAGCACAACTGTTGGTTGTACAAAATGTGCGTCTGTAGCTTATAACAATCTCAGATGTGGTATACCTCAACATAAGGTAAGGGTAGCATTGGCACCAACAGACTTACAGACTTCAAACACACAAGATCACCAGAGGTTCAGATAAAGAAAGCTATTTCTTAAGTGAGTCCAATGTCTGAGCCTCAATTTCCTTCTGTAACCCATTCCAATTAATAATTACCTTCTATTTAAATAATTACTTCCTGGTATCTATCCTGACATCTCCCTCTAAACTATAAATGTGTTCCCTTGTTCCACTGCCTTGCAGATCTTGAAATAGTGTTCTGAGTTTACACCCGGCTGACCAAACAAAAATTGTTGGGTGTTCCAGTTTTCTCCAAATCATAAGAACATAAGAAATGCTAAACAAAAAAAACAAGGTCCATCTTGGTAGCCTTCCCAATGTTAAACTTTTGAACTACAAACACTGCTTCTGTGTAATCAGGTGAGGTTTTGATACGTACCATTTTATCCTTGAAATACTTCAGTTCATTCCTATGTAAAATAAACCACCGCGTTTTCCAACTCTAAAAACGAAAGGAAAAATGAGCAATAGGTTCATACTGAAAGATAACATAAAACAGAAACACCCAGTTTGGGAAGGCAGCACACAATTTAACCGGTTCAATATAATGTCTGTGATCACTCGGTCTTATTTTTTAGCGGTTAGTGATTTTCTTGCCTGTTTTGAGTGCAGATATTAAAAGAATACTCCAGGAATGTTTACCTCATGTTAAAATAAGTAACTATGCTGTAATGGTATGCATGACCTACTAACGGTGTCAGTTTATCTTTTTAACACTTCCATAACTCGGGAATAGTTCAGTGTATCCACTGCTGCCAAGATCAACTCATTCGGAGGTCAGGTATACCTCCTGTATCTAAGTGCCTCACAGCTTGGTAGTGCCTTTACACATCAGCCCATCGCTTTTTACACACAAAGTGGATCTAGGGAATGGAATACATTTCTACTTTGCATTTTCAAGTTCAAGTGTTGCATTAGGTAAAGGATGATCAGAATCAATGGAATGTTCCCCTCCAATAATGTCCTTCGAGAGAAATCGGAAAAAATCCAAGGCTCAGAAAATAAATAAAGATCCACCAAGATTTAATAAGCTGGTGGAACAGGCTCAATGGGTTGCGTGACCTCCTTCTGTGTTCCTGTGTAAGATTTTAACTGCCAGAAGAGAGAGTGGGAGAAGGGAGAGAGTTTCTCCCACCAATATTTAATTTAAACCCAGCTCTCAGAGATAAAAGGGGAATTGTTGATCAGCCTTATGCTGACTATAATAATATAGTCCTTCCCACTTTACCTGCTCTCCAAATAAGGAAAAAGTACAGCAGTGCATTTGTAGAAGCAGTAATTGACTAATCCCTTTGGTGGGATGCACATACAATATTTCTTTATGATATATAAATGTAAAAAAAAACCTTTACCTTTACTCTTCCTCCTTGTTTTGTAAGATAGCCTTCTTTTGTCCCCAACTGCAAAGATAGACATTTTAGATTATTCTTCAGTTTAATTCATTATGTTCCAACCTTTATGGCTGAATTTCAAAGAAAAGAAGTCCTTAAAGTTTTGGATACATGAGGGGCAAGGGAATAAAGAGGTAAAGGAGGAGTATGGCATTGTGTGTATAAACACCAACATGGACTAGTTGGAGCAAGTGGCCTGTTTCCACTGGTGCTGCATCACTCAAGATTGATCCCGTATGCTAATGGTGTCCCTGAAATCCCTAGATTCTTTCTATAAATTTCAGGAGGGGGCGGCAAAGCCCAGGCGGTAGGATAGGCCTTCCTGCTGCCTCCACGAGAACGAGCCGACCTTTAAACCTCCCAGGTGTCCTCCCACTTTCTCTGAGGTGCTTCGAGTCCACGGTGCTGGTAGGGAGAACCACCGCAGGTGTTCTGGATGAGGTAAGATTTAGCATCTCGGGAGCCTGGGATTTAGGGTATTAAAATCCTGAAATCCCTGGATTCGGAAAGAGCATCAGGATTGCAACCCCCATTTGCTCCTCCAATAAAACCAACTATCCTATTCCCAATTCCCTGCTCTTTCCCCTTCTAATACCCTTCCCTCCATGTATGTTTATCCAATTCCCTTTCAAGTATCCCAATCTACCATTCCAACAGCCACCCCCAGCAAATCATTCCATGCTCAAGGAAGAGACAGTGCTTTTGATTATAGCATTGTGAGAATTCCATAGAACCATAGAAATTACAGCACAGGAAGGCCATCCAGGCCATCATGTCTGTGCCGGCTACTTTAAGAGCAATCCTTTCAGCTCCATTCAATGAGGATGAGTAGTCATTCGTTTTGAAACCAGGAAAAAAAACATAGTAAGTGAATGATGTGTCAAGAATCTTCCAACATATCAAACATAGTTTTCTCCATGTCAAAAACTAGATAATGGATCCCGACTCCTCCCGATGTGAAAGACGCTATACAAATGCAATTTTGTTGTTGTTGTTGCAATGGATTATATTCAAATGATTGGTTTTTGTTCAGTATATTCATCATTTAAAAAATCTGAATAAGAGTGATACAACTTGGTTGAGGAAGCAGCCTGGTTTCATACTGTGTGTGACAATAGTGTGACGAAGAGGCAAAGGCCAAAGAAAATCATGCAAAAACATTAGTCCATGAGAGCAGCAAACTCAGCATAAATGGGATTCAAACCAGTCTGTAAGACGCTGTTCTACTCATCGGGCTGCAGAAACTAGTCTCTGATTAACATTTTGCAGCCCCAAACACTTCAGATTTGTAACATTTTCTCTTTTACTCTCTCTCACAATGATGTCTGTGCCCTTTATCAATGTTTCTTAATTGAACAAAAAGACTACTCTGCTTTTTTCACCCTTTACCGCTTGCTTTCCCTGAAGTGACATTTCCTTGGACTCACAATTCAGGCACCATTTTACACAGAACACCTGATCATTCTATCTATTCAAATCCTTACAACCCTCTGCCGCATTCCTCATCAGATATCGATACAGCTTTTCTTTTTTTATATTAAAAAAAAGCTCTGTCACAGCTTGAATTGTTTGCGCTGAGACTCAGTTCTGTTTCTCCGCAACTCAGGCAAAAAAAATCTTTCTAATCTCATCTTAATTAAAGCTGGTTTCATTCCCTTGGGTCTGCACTCAATCTCAGTCTGAGATAAATAACGTGCATCTGCATTATCCAGTAGTCTCAGCATTTTAAATATGTGGATCACGCTCCCTTTTAATCTTTTCTCCATTGCGAAACAGTCCAGTTCAGTGCGTCTCTCCTGATAACTTAAAGCCTTCAGCTGTAACATTAGTGTAGCCAAAACAGCAGTTTTGTTTGCTGACACGGATGAAATTTAAATTTAACTAAGATGGCTTTCATCTGAAGACAAAACAGCAGCAATACTTAGCGGCACAGGCTGAATACGTGTAAAGAGGCCAATACCATATTTTAATGAAATCTAAAACTCCCGGGGGATTCATTCCTCTGCTCTGTTCAAATGTAACTTCACTGAGCTTTCCAGCTCTTGCCTGAGCCTTGGCTTGGCTTCCTGTGGCTGTGATCCTACTTCCTCTATTTTGCATTTTGATTCTTGGCCGTCAGTTTAATCTGAAACAAACCAGTATCCTTCAACTTCAAATTAGACAAATTTGAAAAGTTTCTCACCACAAATAATGAGTGCAAATCATTGGTGATAGTCAGATATTCTGCTGTCTATCAGTACCAGTCAGATTGAATGGGATCTGCTATTGTGGTTGCACCTGCTTCAGTTTCAGTATGAATACCTCAGTGGCTAAACAGACCATTTAAAGTTCCGGTTTGAAATACTGTACAATAAGCTGAAACTTTCCAGAGAAAGATTTATGTATTGTGGATTAATCTCATGTTTGATTGTTTAATCTTTCTTGGTATTCAATATATTGGTTCGATTTTCTAAAGCTTTAGAGCTGTAGCCAGCATTAAAGGGGAGATACGAACATCAAAAGCTCTGGAAATAACATAATTGTTCCAGTCGTTAATCATCCTCTGGGTAAAGAAAAACTCCCTCGTGTCTATCCTTTGCAACTGTAAACCTATATCTTGTTTTACTGCATTGGTGCATCCTAAAGTACTGTTCTGGGTTTACTTTTTCAATTCCAATTAAAATGATATACACCTCTATGAGATTTCCCTCTGAGAGGTTTTCTCTGAAGACTAAAGCTTGTCTATTCATTGATCACAGCTCATTCCTCTAACACTGGGATCATCCTCGTTGCTCTCCTCTGCACTCCTCTAAGGCTTGGGTTGCCCCTGGATGTCACAGTGACCAGAACTTTATACAGTACCTTACATGTGGCCTGACCAGAGCTCTGTATATCTTCAGTTTCAGTTTGATCTGGGATCTGAACTCAACTGATTACCAATACAGCCTGATCATTCACCATTCTGGCTGATTTGACCTTGGTAGACAGACGTGCACAATAAAGGATGGCCATGTAAACATTTGAGTGACACTGGTGTCAACTGAGCAATATTTCTGCTTCCCCAAGCAGGCTGAAACTAAATAGAAGACTAACCATCTAAACATTTAGCCACAAGCTAAGTTAGCAGCTGCACAACTTGTTCTATCAAAGATAACAGAGCTTAAGTATTGCAAAATGGTCAAGCTACAAACTATTCAGCTAATGAGCCAGTTGTGTTTTAAAGGCAGCTGAGAGGGAGGAAGTGGGAGAAAATAAATGTGTTATTTACTTATTCTTATTTTAAAGAAAAGTATTATTTGCTGTATTTAGTAGCAGGTTTCCTGGCTCAACCAGGAATATGTATCAGCCTGGCTCAGTTGGTAGCACTCTCGCTCTTGAATCAGAAGGCTATGGGTTTAAGTCCCACATTGGAACTTCAAACTCACATAGTCCAGGCTGACACTCCAATATAGTGCTGGGGTATGCTGCATTTTCGGAGGTGCCGTCCTTTTGATGCGACTTTAAACTGAGATCCCATCTACCGTTTCAGCTGTACTTTAAAGATCCTATGGTACTATTCGAAAAGAGATGGGAATTTCTCCCAGTGTCCTGGCCAACAAATAAAAGTGGTCCTTCACTCCATGGCTGTTTCCATGCAATGGCTGTGCACAAATAGGCTGCAGTGTTCGCCCTCAAAAAATACAGTCACTACTCCTTGCAGTATATCCTAGAGCTTTGAGATGTCTTTCTGACATGAAAGGTGTTATATCAAATGTAAAGATTATTATTATCTCTTACTGTGTCTCTGCTGGGGAACAGTGTGTCACATATAGTTAAACTTTCAAAAAGTATAAACATAAAAGGGACAAATAGATGTAATCATAATTCTTTTTCTTGTGGTAGTTTTAAATGTAGCAAATCTTAGGCCAATAGACATCCAAGTACTCTTAAGAGTTACGGCTGATACTCAAAAAGTTTCATAGCTGTGATTAATCACATTACAGAGTCCAAGCATTAAAAACATTGTACTGAAGCAGTCGACTTACTGAGGGTGCTTGAGAGACCAGATCATTCTCAGTACACCCAGTCTTCATGGCTGTGTGAACACGGACAGACTCATAGATGGATGGTTCTTCTACTTTTCGAGGATACGGGCATTTAAGTACAATAAGCGTACCTTCATCACAGGGATAAAAACAGTAATAGAAAATAAAAATTAAACATTCTGCTTTGTGTGTATGTGTGCGTACGAGTATACATTTGTGTGCTTGTGTCTGTGTTTGATATGATACATGCATGTGTGTCTGTGTGTGCTCACCATAACCAGGGATAATGGTTCTCAACTACTAATAATCCTTGCATTTGATATAGCGCTTTTCACGTCGGGAGGACGTCCCAATGCGCTTCACAGAACACACTGTAAAGTGAATTGACTGTATATTTGTGGGCGAATGCGGCAGCCAATTGCACACAGCAATGTCCCACAAACAGTCGTAGATTGAAAATGACCAATTTTTATTATTGTTTTGGGTTTTTGGAGGGATTATTATTAGGCGTGTGGAGTAAGGAAACTTGCCCAAGGTTTCGCCCTGCCTGGAATTGAACCCAGGTGTCTCGCTTGCAAAGCGAGTGCTCTAACCACTGAGCTGCAGGACTCCATCACATATATATATATATATATGCACACGCACATACACACAGTACTACAGCTGCAGCCTGACCAGAGCACTGTACAGGGTGAGCAGGACTTCAGGGGACGTGAGGTCAATTGATTTTACTAGCCTGACCACAGAGAGACGGGGTAATGGAGTTTAATATTTAAAAACAAGAAGTTCTGGAAAGTTTCATGAACAGCACTTGTGAGAAGGATTCCTAAATTAGATTGAAAATGTTATTAGCCGGAAACACTGTTTCTCTTACTGCTCCAATTTTCTAAATGGGCTTTTCTTATCAGGGGTTTCAACTGATTCTCACCAGACTACATAGCAACCGAGATTACCGCTCCAACATACCGGACTATCGTTCTAGCACTCAAGAATACTGCTTCAACACACCAGGCTATCATTCGAGAACCCCGAAGTGCTGTTCAAGCACACTATTATCACTGTTCTTAGCACTGGAAAATCATTCCAGAACAACAGACTGTTGTGATAGTACTCTAAACTACTGTTCTAATACACCAGTCCATCGTCCTGGCGTCCTGGGGTCCTGGCGTCCTGTTCCAGCGCTGCAGAGTACATTACAAGATTCCAGCCTACAATTAAAGTGCTAAAACACACGTGTGTGCGCAGGAAAGAAGAACAAATGTGCAGCTGACTCACTCAGAAAGTACTAATAAGCCATTCATTCTGAGTCACTCATTAACTGGCAAATTTCCTTATAGTTTCCACACACGTGTTTTTTCTTAAGAGTGCTTATAATATTAAAAAAAAATACACCATCCCTTTCCAGCACTTTGAAACGGGGATTTCGGGAGACAGCTGACTTGTGTGCTCCCAGTTAAAGACGGTCATTTTATTTTGGTCAACCAGGTGGCTGACATGTGGAAACCCACCAGCATGCTTATCAATATCCAAATCAAACTACTGAGTGTTTCCCCCATATGTACGGTTTCTGTTTGTCTGGTATGGAGTGTGCATGGAAGATTAGGGGAAGGGGCAATAGAGCATTTATGACATTTGAATTCCTTAAAACCTTAGAAATCATTAATGTTTACAGGATAGAAGTTAGAGTTCAGTCTATTGCGCCTGTGTAAAATGTTAATGTGTAAAAAAGAGTAAAAGTACAACGTACACAATGTTGATCAATATAATCCTAACCAATTTTCAGTGCATGTCATCTTACCTGTTTCACTGCCAAGAAGGGGCTGGTTGGCAAAGTGACTGATAAAATCCTTTAATGACCGGAACTCACTGAATCCAAATTTAATGGAACATTCAGTACGTTCAATTTGGAAGTGCTTGACTGAGTCTTTGGCCCTAGAATGGTAAAACACAATATTTTTTTTAGCTTCAATGGCTATCATTGTTGGTTATTTTTAGAAATGGCTTCAAGCTCAAAATATTTCATCTGTGTTAATGTGTTCACAAGTAACAAGATTGGTTTAGATGAAGAAACCCCTTCAGCCCATTCCAAATCTCATCCCTTCAGAACACCCATCCTAACACCCCCCCTCCCCATCACTGCATCAAGCTACTTTTTATATGAGTCCAGTGTCCTGGCCTCTATCACCTTTCCTGGCAACCTGTTCCATTAATTACCCTCTGGGTAATGACAAAAGTGATTGTTTGGCTTGAAGAATGTTCACTTGTTTACTTCAGCGTAACTCTGTCTGTCCAGGGCCTTGGGACGTCCTCCCGACGTGAAAGGCGCTATACAAATGTAATTTTGTTGTTGTTGTTGTTGAGCGATGTAGTTGAGGGTGGCTGGTGCCCACAATAGGAACACTGAAAGGAAGGTGACAACCATAACAACTTGGATTTCTATATTCTGTGAAGCGCTTTGGGACGTCCTCCCGACGTGAAAAGCGCTATATCAAATGCAAGTATTATTATTATTATTATTATATAGGCCCTCCACGCCGGACGGCATCTCAGAGCGCTTCACAGTAACGGATCCCGGGACCGAGCCAGGGGGAGGGGGAAGAGGGTGACCAACGGCGCGGTCGAAGAGAAAGGTCTTCAGCCGAGGCCTGAAAATAGGAAGAGAGGGAGCGAGGCAAAGGGAGTAAGGAAGGGAGTTCCAGAGCCTCGGGGAGTAGTGGCTGAAGGCATTGCCGCCAATGGTGGAGCGGAGGATTCGGGGACAAGGAGAAGGCCAGACCTGGTAGAGCGAAGGCAACGGGCACTGTTGTGAAGAGAGAGGAGGTCAGAGAGGTTAGGGCAGTGCAGAGGAGTGGAGGGATTGAAGTCGATCCTCTCTGGGACAGGCAGCCAGTGCAGTCTGGCAAGGACTGGGGTAATCAGGGAGCGGAGTTTGGTGCGGATAAGAATGCGGGCGGCAGAGTTCTGGATGACCTGGATTTTATGGATGATATTGGAGGGGAGACCGGCGAGGAGGGCATTTGAATAGACAAACTAATTAAACGCGTAATACATTATCCTCTGCTACTTTAATTCCCTTCCAGTGGATTGAAGTGATCAATTTTTTTTGAAGGAAAAACGATCCGCCAATCGACTAACAACCGATTCTTACTTACTTACTTCTAGGTAAGCAGAGGCGTGTGGAGTAAAGAAACTCGCCCAACATTTTGGCCTGCCGGGAATCGAACCCAGGTCTCTTGCTTGTGGGGTAAGTGCTCTAACTGAGCTACTGGACAGGATTTAACAGCTTATCTAAGTGACAGCACCTCTGACAATGCAGCGCTCCTTCAACACTACATTAGAGTGTCAGCCTAGACTGGGAGAGTAACTAACGGATAATTTAGACCAGTCCAGACTTTGTGTTTATGCTATTAAGTGCTCTGGGATGTTACCCTGCGTGAGGGGCGATATAAATACAAGTTATTGTTGTTACTAACCTTACCTCTCTCTTTAAGCATTTGGCAGTAAATGGTAGTTCTCTTTTACGTTAGTAAGGCATACAGACACAACAATTCCACAAGATATTATGGGAAGACCATTTATTTGCTCCTTTCTATAATAAGATTCCTTGCATTTATATAGTACCTTTTATAATCAGGAAGGTACTACAGATGTGCTTCAAAGGATTTCCTTACTACAGTAACGTATATTTTACAGGTGAACAGTGTTATAGTTGAGGGCAAGTACAATTCCCATGATTGCTACCTCCCATTCTCTGAAACTGTTTAGATTTGCTTAAGGAACCCTAGCAGTAAAATTCCATCTGGGTATGGATTTTCCCTAATTCTACATCATTACACTACGATTTCCCGTTATTTATTTTCTTCTGCAGTCAGGGGAGGGAAGGTGGGGGAGGGGTGGAGTATGAGTGGGGGAGGGGTTACATACATACCTTACAGACAAAGCATATAAATTTGGACCATCGTGACTTTTTCGTAGAAGATAACTCCCATCTAGTCCATTGGAGAGTAGAAGGGCCTCGGCAGCGTGACGGGAGAGTGTGAAGTGAAACCAGCTAGCAAAGAAAACAACCAGTATAGCAATAGGTTACAAAGCCTGCGATGCAATCATCATCAAAGCCAAACAAGCATGGACACTGCTTAGTTCCAGTAAGACACTGGGAATCCCATCTGGGTATTGATTTATCTTCCTAGCCTTTCAGTGACCAGAATTTGGCAAATTCTTTTGCATAGCCTCGATTCTGAAGCTATTTTTGGTGTGAGTTCTGTACAGTTCTGGGGCTGTTATCATGCTCCTCGGGAAGGCCATGATGTTATTGAAGTCTCATTGCCAGAAAAAAGGTTCTTGTGACATTTTTGTGTAGAGATCCCATGTGTCATTATATTGCATCTCACACCAACTCACAGAACTGTAAAAAATGCTATACCAAATGTCAGGATTATTATTGTTATTATTATTATTGTTATTAATGGCAACCCTTTGGTAATAGCAATACAGAAATCAGTCTTTTTCCTGAAATGCAATGCTCATTGAGGTTTCTTCTTAGCCATGCCAATGCTGTGTTCGGTAATCTTAACGCCTGTGCAATATGAACACAGGATGTACTGTAATGGGAACGGAGGTGATAAGGTTGCAATCAGACAACATTCACAAATGATTCACCATTTCTCATGCACAAAAACTACGGATTGCTTTGGTTTCACTGAAACACCTGTACAACCAAACCTTATCGGACTAGGTTGATGACTGAGAGCTTCATTGTTACAGAGGACAAATGATTAAAATACAGCTGGCTACAAGCCAGCGTTCTGAAATCATGTACAAATTTCAAACCCAACCACCTGAATGAATTCTAAGAGTAACAGACCTGCCGATATGTGGTATTATTGAAACAATAAGAGATATTAGGGATTAGTAACGCAGACATAATTCTTTGGCCTTTACTTATGATGATAATAATGTAATCCTTAAACTTGGTATAATACCTTTCACATCAGGAGGACTTAAAAACCTTACCAACACAGGTATATCTGCCCATTGTTTTACCGGCCTGGGATCATATGCTGAATTAAACTTATTGGTAGCTATTCTGGTTTGATATGCTCTCCTTTCTCTTCCAGAATTTGGTTCAATGTCAGTCCTGCATTGTGGAATAAAGGACTATTTTTGTGCCCATTGTCCCCATTTAAGGGCCCTCAACACAGTTCCTAGTAGCATGGATCAACAGTACAAAACTACTCATAATTCAGCCTAAACTTGCAATCTAACAGACAAGCTACAAGGATATTGTTGTGGGGGCAGAGGCACCATACTAGCTGGTGCTCTTCCATAGGAACAAAACTTCTGGGAAAAACCTTGGGAGAGCTTTACTCTCCATCTAGTTAAATGCCAAGTGAACAGCCAGGGTTGGGCTCCGACAGGGTCCAAAGGAAAAGAATTCTGTTTCAAAAGCACTGCTGTGGCACACGGAAAGTTTACCTCACCAAAATCCCCCTGAATTTCAATTGAAGAACATCAAGAAGAAAAGTCGAGCACAGCCTAAAATAGATTAAATGCACACCGAGGCTGAGAGATAACAGCCAACGAATTGATTTACAAAGGTTCTCACCATCAGACGAGCAATTGGACGTTAAGAAAGATCAAAAAGATTAAGCAGGAAGACAGATATCTCCGTGAGAAGCTCTGTAGGACAGAAGTCCTCTCCAGTAAGACAGGACTTTGAACAGGATCAAAACTGGTGCAAGAAAGTAGCTATGCTCATCATTTGAAAAGCTTGTTCCAAACCTGTTGTAAAGCTTTGTTTCTTTGGTGCCCGGTGAGGATCCGTTAAAATTCAGGAGATGAACTAACGTCAAATGGACAAAATCCCCGACAAGCAGAACTACCTCAGTCCCAGATCAATACTAAGCGTTTAACTGTAAATCCGCTCCAGAAAGAGGAAGTTCATTCAAATGTTGAATACATATTATGACATGGAGGAGGGTGGGGATGGTAGGGGGGGGAATGTAGATTGTGCAGTAAATTTGTGCATTTTCTTCAATAAGTGTTGTGGGGACCATTGAAATGTACAGCAAAGAAGGAGACCATTTGGCCTGTCGTACCTGTGCTAGCATTCTGAAAGAGCTATCCATTTAGTCCCATTTAGAATAAGGAATACTTTGATTCTAATCTGTGGTGTATCTGAATTGGGTGGCTGTACTTGTTGTTACGATGGCTGGTGCGTCACCATTATCCCCTGAGTCAAGGTTGACTTTGGACCCAAGTCCCTGAAGTGAAAGGATACTTTACCACAGCACAATGCATACCATTTTTTTTCCTCAGCTGGGTGTCTGACACATTTGGAAACCCATCACCATGCTTAATAGTATCCAAACCAACAACAACAAAGTTACATTTGTTTAGCGCCTTTTCACGTTGGGAGGACATCCCAAACCAAACCGAGATTTCCATGCATCCCGTCTAAACATTGAAATTCCAGAGATAGATTGTTGGAATGCGCACTCTCTCCCTGGAGGGATGCATCCTGCTTACCTAATCATAATAATAATAATAATTCTTGCATTTGATGTAGTGGCTTTTCATGTCTTCGAGACGTTTCAAAACACTTCACAGAATACACTGTAAAGGAAATTGATTGCATATTTTGTGGAAGAAACAAGCCAGTCAATTGCACACAGCAGTTTCCCACAAACAGTTGTGGATTGATTGACCAATTTAGTATTATTATTTTTAATTTTTTTGAAGGCAATTATTACCCCTGGAAAATCCATCCACCAATCGACTGACAACCAGGGTTCCTACTTACTGCTAGGTAAACAGAGGCGTGTGGAGTAAGGAAACTTGCAATGTTTTGCCCTGCTGGGAATCAAATCCAGGTTTGTAAGCAGAGGAAACTGTTTAAAATTATTTCAGTTTGGTCACTCACAACCAGTAAAAAGAGAGAAAGAGCAGCAAAGGGGGAGACAGAGATCGATCTCTGCTCCAGATAGTGTATTCAAGGTGGAAAGACGGTATTTCTTTGTGTCCCCAGTTGGAGATTAAGGTAAAAGCTCTAATAATACTTTCCTTGAAAACTGTAATAGAGCAAATATGCAAAAACAGTGTTGCTAACAGGAATTGCACAAATACTGTGATGCGTATTGAAAGGGCTCACATCCTCCTCCCTTCCCGCCACCCCTCCTGATCCCAAGCCCCAACCTAGGTCAAAATCCCGAACTGTCCAGCGCCTTGGGATGTCTTCCCAACGTGAAAGGCACTATACAAATATAATTTGTTGTTGTTGAAAGGTGACCAATTTTTCAGGGTAAAAGTCGATTATATGTAGTGCTACTCTGAACATAAGATTTATTTAAAAGGTTACAAAAGTCGTACTTTTGACTGTTCAGAGTAATACCCAGGTCCAAGATCTGTGGCTGACTTGTATTTATGTATAGTATTTTATACTGTATTTATGTAGGAATGCTATCATGTTATGCCACTTGTTTTCTAGGAAATATTAGTTACGTGCAGCACAACAAAAATAACAACAACTTACATTTGTATTGTACCTTACACATCAGGCGGAAATCCCAAGGCACTGAACAGTCAGGGATCCGCACCGGAACTGGTGTGTGGGATCAGGAGGGGTGGAGTGTGGGGAGGATAGGGGTAAGAAGGTGTGCAAAGGCACGGTCGAATAGGAAGATCTTGAGATGGGTCTTGAAGGAGGCAGGGGAGGGGATGAGGCAGAGAAACTGTGTGACGGCGTTCCTGAAGGTGGGGCAGAGAGGCTGGAGCCTGCCCGCCAATGGTGGGGCGCACAAAGGCAGGGGATGTGAAGCAGGCCAGAGCCTGCTGAGCGGAGGGCGGGGACAGGTTGGTAGGGGGTTAGGAGATAGCGAGGAGCAAGGCCACAGAGGGCTTGGAAGCTGAGGGCCAGGATTTGGAACTGTATCCTCTGAGCAATGGGGGGCCAGTGGAGCCGGGCAAGGATAGAGATGATAGGTTCGGGGAGCCTGGTGTGGGAGAGGACACGGGCTGCAGATCAAATTGATCGGTCATAGAAGTCCCAACTCCAGTGCTGGGAGTGCAGTTAATGGATGTTCCTTTGTTTTATGGATGTCCTGGGTGCGCACTGCATTGCTGGAGGTGCCCTCCTTTGAATGAGATGTTAAACCAGGAACAAGTGTTCAGGTGGACATTAAAGATCCCATGGCACTATTTGAAAAGGAGAGGGAGTTTCTCCTGGTTTCCTGGCCAACAATCCCCAGATCAAAATTCGGCATTTACTTCACGGTGGTTTGTTGGACATTGTGTGTGCAAATTGGTTGCTGAGTTTACCAACAAAATACACAATAAACTCTTTGAAGCGCTTTGAGACATCTTGATACCATGATAATGCCTTGCATCAAACACAAGAATTATTAAGTGCAATAAATATTATTATTCATAATTTTGAAAACCTTTGTGAAATCCCCCTTAACCTTCTCTGCTTCAGTGAAAACAATTTTGAAATCTTCTGAAATTTCTCGGTATGATTAAAGTCTTCCAGTTAATACTGCCGATTGTTAATTATGAGGTTTTTTTAAGATCTAAATTTTCAGATCATTTTAAAACTTCAGTCCCATAAAAGAACTTCCATTTAACAGCCAAATATCTTGAAAGCCCCAAATTCTCTCTAGCCTTCCCCCATAAGACAACAACAAACTGTATTTAGTGCCCTTCATGCAGGGTAGCATCCCAGAGCCCTTGAGGGAGATGTGACCATAGGCATGGTCGAATAGGAAGGTCTTCAGGCATAATATGAAGATGAGGAAGGAAGGGGCAAAGCAGAAGGAAGATCATTCTGTCCCAAAAGTTAGGTGGTTCAGAATTGTAGAAATGTCTTTATTTATAAAGTTGACTTTCAGCAGTGTTTAAAAATACGGGCTTCCAAATTCAAGAATTTTCCAAGATCTTAAGTTTTAAGACAAAATAGCCTCACATGTTAAGTAGGTCTGGGTAGAATTCCAAGTCTCTGGAGTGAACTGAAAGACATCTGACATGTACACTCCACGTGCCTAGTGAACACTAAAA